TGAATTTTCCAGGTTATGAAGCTTAACTTTAAAGCATGTCATTTCAACCTTCTGTTTTTCCCCTAGCAGGAAGTTCCTTTGAAATGTAGGTAGGGTAGGAAGGTAATGTAGTATGGAAGGACCCAGGGTCTGGAGTCAGCCTGACCCTATTGGTGGACAGTGGCAGTGGGCCTTGGGCAGGCTCCCATGGTCTCTGTCAGTTTCCTCATCTGTGGAGTAATCACAATCCCAAGTCATTGAGTTCAACTGTCAATGCAAGTGGCACCTGGCAAGGAATCACAGCTGTTAAATATTCACTAAATACCAAGCACTCTTACAAGCACTTTTTTACTTTGCATAACACCATACAAATCAGGTATTGTTGCTGTTCCCATTTCACATCTAAGGGAAGGGAATCCCTGAGAGGCAGAGTCACCACCAGGTACTTTGGCCTTTCTGCTCACACCATTGCCTCTGGCTGCCTAATTCCAGGAAGTATTCCATCAGTGGGGGCTGAGAAGAGTAACAGATACACAAATTCTTCTGAGGTCCTGGTTAATGGCCCTTCCTTTTGCTGGGCAGTGCACTGAGGGTGGGCCCGCATAGCTCCTCCCTGTGGTGTACATGCAGGATCAGCCTCCGCTGCCTATTTTTCCTTTCTAATAGCAAACCAAAGATTACATAAAACAAAGTGTTTCTCTTTATTTCTCCTCTTCTCCTTAAGATGAAGAGAAAGCAAATTTAACACATAGGAGTACATTAGAAGCATGAAGTGTTGGTGATCTGCCTCTTGCAATTCTGAAGATGCAAGTACAGGAGAAAGGCACACATGGATTACAGAAACAGCTTTGCCTTCTGTTTGTTAGCTTAGTTCTTTATTACCTGCAGTTGTGTGTGAGGTCAACACTGTCTCAGCTCTGGTGCTTTCCTTTCTGAAGAAGTTACTGTCTTCAGCTCACCCTCTAATGCTCTGCTTTTAGTACTCTTCTGGTTTGAATATGAAGTGTGCCCCCAAATCTCCTGTGATGATGCAGGAATGTTCAGAGGTGAAATGATCAGACCGTGAGAACTGTAATCCAATCAGCCCATCATATATATATATATAATCCAATCAGTCCATCGTATTTTAATAGGACTAGGTGGTATGGTAACCATGGGCAGGTGGGCATGGCTAGATGAGGTTGGTTGCTGGGGACATGCCCTGGAAGGAGGCATCTTCGGCTCCTTCCCTCTCTCTGCTTTCTGACTGTCCATGAATGGAGCAGTGCTCCTCTACCACAACCTTCCACCATGGTGATCTGCCTCACCTTGGGCCCAGAGCAATGGAGTTGGCCACCCATGGACTAACTCTAGAATAGTGAGGAAAAAAAAAACTTACATATTTTGTTCACAGTGATGGAAAGCTAACAGAGACTTATACAGGAATTTTTGTTGTGGATTGACTCAAATTAAAGGCATTTACCTACAAGCTTAAGTCTACCCATAAAAAGCTAAAATCTTGGAAGTAAGCATAAATAATTCTGTTTAATAGCAGTAAGCTCACTCCTCGGATACCAATTGTCATTTGAGTATTTCAAGTATTTTATAATAGGGTGATTTAGTAGTAACAAGTAGTAGTCCTGCTTTTCCCTAACTTAACCCTCAGATATCTGAAACTTCTATAAATAAAAACATTGGCACAAAATTATAAAGTAATATTTTGAGCACAGTAACCAAGATATCCTGTTCAATGTCTTGGTCTTCCTCCAAACTGTGGTACTTTGAGACAAGGATCAGCAAGCAGTATGTTATGGTGCATAGGGCTGCAGGCTGAGTTTGGTAGACTTGGCTTCAGATCCTAGCTCTGCCATCTAAATGTGTCACTTGGGACAAGTTTCTTCCAGTTTTCTTTTACAGACTGTGAGGATACCTGTGTTTGCATCACCTGGCTCTTGAACACCTGAATGTATAAAAAGCCTTTCCACGGTCTCTGGAAACCAGTAAGGGCTGAATTAGTGGGAGCGCTCTTTCCTTACCCTGGGCTTTGTTATGCTATACATACCCAGCTCCTGTCAAGACTGGAGTTACTAACAACATGTTTGCTTTGAGTCCAGCCTCTGTTTTCTGTATGCTTCGACCACCACATCACTGACCTTTATTCTTCCCCAAGTCATCAAACCCATCTTCCTCCTGGCACTCAGCGTTCACCACGTCTTTGCACACTATGCGTGCCCTGACGTTCTTGTGTTCATCTCTGCTCCGACACACATGCAACCCCCTGAGCAGAGACCATCTCCCTAATATCTGGCGGAGTTCTGAGAGCTCAGTCAATGCTGTGTCCAGTCGTTTTCCATCCACTGTGGCCAGACCACAGCCATTTTCTGTCTTAATTGGAGCACTCTTTCCCTTTGGATCTGCAACTTCTTTCTTCTGCCATACTTCAGCCTTCGGTTATTTTGGACCTGTTTTCTCACTGCATGGTGGGTTTGAAAACTGTGCCTGTCTCTTTGCATATTAATACACATAATGTGCATCAAAAGTACATGGTCACTAATTAGCACTGCTGCTGGTTCCACAACTTTGAATGAAACTCAGACATTTGTCTATAAAGAACACTTTCTGCATGGACATTTTCTTATAGCACCCAGGATCTTTCCAGATAAGAACTACACAGATCAGGCCTATGATGCTGTCCTAAACTGCTGACCCTTTTGCTAGTCATATTAACTTGGTAATCTCCTGCCTCACAAACTTAATAGAAAAATTATGAGAGGAAAATAATTGGTACTTGTAATTGGTCATAGCCTTATATTCACCATAACATGGAGGAAAACAAATTATAACTCTGTTACTTGAGAAAAATGATGTAATATCTGGGTAGCTGAGGGAGGTCAGTACAAAAGCATTTGTATGTGCATCTGTCTGTCTAGTAGTTATATGACATTATTGGCAGTGCCTAGAAACCCCAGGGGTGTGGCTAGACTTCCTTGGATAAAGACACAAATTGGAAAAAATAGTCATAGTTCCACAATTACCATAGTGAGCTCTGCTGGATTTTACTGCTTCTAGCTATGGGGAGTAGCGGGCAGATTCATTTCTGGGCATGTGTAACATGAGCTTGAATGTTACTGTTGAGCACTTTGCAGGGGCAAAAAAAAAAAGGTTAACCAGAAAGACTGTCTGTCAAAGATTTGAAGTGGGCTGTGACTTTTCATTGCCATTGATTTTATCCTAGAATCCTGTAATATTTAAAATCTTTTATGGGGAAAAATGGACATTTTCCTGTTTTAAACTATAGCTCATGTCCTTAATCATGGCTTACAGCTTCATTGGGAATCAAAAATTCCAAAGTAACATTATGAAATAAATATTGCCCTCTCTATGTTGCACTATTAATTATACCCATTGTATCACATTTCTAAATAGGGAGAGAAGTGATATGGTTTATAAACTTGGGTGTTTGGGGGATTGGGCTGTGTCTTCAGCCGTTTTGCCTCCTGTCCAAAGATGAATTAGTCCTTGTGCAAATCCCTGAGAGACTCCCTAACTCTATGCATATTAACCCTTTCCTCAACTTGATCATTATTGTGGAATCCACTTACTTCTAAACATCTCTAAGTGAAGTGATCAGATAAATTTGGAAATTTTTTTTTCTTGAACTGTGCGATCTGCTAAATATTCTAGGGAAACATTTTGGCTGTGCTTAGTCTGTTAATGCTGGTTACATCATGGGAGCTATAGATTTCTTGGGAGTACAAAATGATTGCATATTCATGAACATCTTCAATCCTGAAATATTTGTAAATAACTTGGCAATTTTTTTTCATAAAGTTGCCTATTAAAATGATCAGGACTTTGTATCGGAAAGAAGTTGTGCTTACAAAGGAATGCCTCTTTGATAAATAACGTATTTCTAGGCTAAGCAACTTGGACTATGGACATATAAATCACCTTTCTTAAACAAAGTATAAGAGATGCTATTTCCGCCTAAGGATGATTCAAGTTTGAAAATGTCAATAGATGCAAAAAGCCACCCTAGAGCTTTGCTCTCTCAAAAGAAAGTAGAGAAGGAATGACATAGTCAATGTTAACTGTCACCAGATGAAGAGAAATCAGATTGTCAGGCCTGGATCTATAAAATTCTTGCCAAAGTAGGACTTCATTTACACATACAGATCTTCATACCCTTTGCTAAGAAAAGCATCTGTGGCAGTTTAGATGTTTGTGCGTTTGCCAAAGATCTTTCACTCTGAATAAAGTAAATGTCATGTCTGTTGTTTATCTCAAATTCAGCGGAGTATTTTTAAAAGGAAATATTTGCGGGGGAGGGTCGAGGGAGAAGGGAGGCGGAGGCGGGAGCTCCAATGAGGTGGGTGTGGCTGTTGTTTAGGAGGACCAGAGGGGGTCTCCGGAAATAAGCCTAAGACATACTTGGGGCTCCTGAACTGAAAATGTCCTTTTGAAGTGACAACACTACAGCAAGTTGGAATGTGGAGTCTTCCTGAATCTATACCTAGTCTGTCAACACCCCCCCAAATCCAGTTAATTTAGTCAAACTGATTATTTGGCATCATGGAGACACAGCTGTCTTGAACTAAAATCCTGAACACGTGGAGATGGCATTGTACCCAGAGCCAGCCAGTACAAGGGGATCTGTGTATAAAGGCTCACGTAAACGTCAAAGATTGGAAATAGAAGTTAATTGCTCCAAATTTAAGCTAGAACCCTGGTGAACAATTAAAAAAAAAAATTCTTGTGGTAAAATTTCTTGGCAAACGGGTACCATTGGTAAATTAAGATTCAGTTAAGAGTATGATGTCATATAACTTTGTAAATTGCCTTTAATATAAAAAGTAAAGGGAATTATCTACTTTTTTAAAAACTCCTATTTACCTGGTTTATTGGTACTCAAGTTCCTAATGGGAAATATTTCAGATAATGCAGTATCACTCTTTGCAAAAGTCGAGTATTTGTCTTAAATGAGTATGGTTTGCTCCATGGAAGTATTCTGTGTGACCCTGAATTTCGCTGTCTTCCCCCAGATGATATGGAAGCCATTCCTGTCAAACAGTTTGTCAAACACATCGGGGAGCTCTATTCTAATAACCAGCACGGGTTCTCTGAGGATTTTGAGGTATGTTTCAAAACTGGAAATTTCTAGAAAATTAACTCTTACTTCAGAGATTATTGTCAACCTGAGTTTATTTTCGGCATAACAAAACAACTGACAATTGGAGATTATTTTTTTCATATGTGATTTTTACAGCCATTCTCTTCCCAGAAAAATCATGTGAAAGGGAATTGGTTGCACTGGTCCTGAACATGTGCTTTTGTGAAAGAACAGACTTAGTGGTTGAAAAGAGGCAGATAGTGGTGGTTGATTTTGGGGGTTCTTTCTTCACCTTCCTTCTAGTGGAGAAGTCATAGTTAAGCGCCCCAATTCCCTGTCATGTCTGCGCTGCACGTGGTGTAGCGGAGACAGCAGGTTGGCGTGAGGAACTGGGTGCTGGCTGCACCAGTAGTGAGCTTCACAGCCCGTGGGCCAATCACTTCATCTCTGATCCCTAGTTTCCTCATTGAAAAAAAAAAAAATGCTGCTAATGTTGCCCACATCCTAAAGTTGTTACGAAACACACACGATAAGCATCTTTGAAAGTGCTGGGTTAATTATTAAGAAGCAAGCAAATCATTGATGGTGGTTGTTTGCATGATTATTAATCCTTGGAGACAAGACGTGGTTAACACAGCCTTCTGATTTTAAGAACTGGTGTATAGGAAACAAGGTAGAGCGCGGCACGCGCTATCCTGCCAACTCTGGGTTCTGTGCCAGTTCAGCAGTGACAGGGTGTCAATGAGGAGCTATTAAACAGACTGCCCTTTTCTTCACTGAGGCGCTTAACTAAGGCACATCTCTGGCAGCAAGAGTTGTGCCGAGGAGGCCAAGTTTTCATGGCAGCTCAGCTGTCTTCTAGCTTTGTGGGTAAGTCAGTTCCTTTCTCGTTCTCATTTCTACTTTAAAATGGAAATGATGGTGATGATGCTAACCTGCCCACCTCTTTTTCTGCACAATTGGTTCTGGGGCTCAAGTGAGGGGATGGGAGGTAAGTGCTTGGGGAATCATCCGGGAGCCACACAGCTGGGAGGAGTAATCATCCTACAGGAACAATGAGAAATAGGACAAAAATCCCGTCTCTATGCAAATGTGGAATCCCCAAAGGCTATCAGAAAGGCAATTATATTGACAACTCATTTTAAATTAAGTCTTTCTCTTAGTTTTTGTGTCATCTCTTTGAGCAGAACAGGGGCAAAGGTGGTAGAAAGGACTCTCGCGATTTATTCTGCAAAGTCATATGTTTCCTGGAACAAACAAAAGCATGTCAGGTACTTAATGCTCCTATTAGATGCCGACCCAAAAAGGTGCCTATTCAACTACAGTGAACATGGTTTAAGTCAAACATTTTGTATTCATGAGGACAGCAAATGTGTGTGGTGTTAAAGTGATTTAGTTCAATTGACTGTTGGCTGGATGACTGAGCAAGAATATTGAGGCATTTAACAATGTTGATGGTATTCAGGACAAACATTTATCCTCTAGAGAGCAGAACTTGATCAGGATGATCAAATGCAACTCTGGTTTCTCAATTATTTATGATTTGAGACCCCAGTGCTATTCATCACAGCTGGTTTTGACACCATTTAATTATTCAAAATAATCAGCTATACCTCTGTGTACTTAGTCTGACTTAAAATGGGCTTGGCTGCATCCAAATCATGACGGTTAACAAATTCTGGGCATCTGTGCCCTTAAAAATAAATAAATAAATACAGTGACTGAGAAATTTAGCCCCCCTCCCCTGAACTTTATAGTTTAAATATTGTTTGCTGATATTTATAGGAGTGGAACAGGGAATGCAGGCAGGAAGGACATATCTTTCTACTGTTGGCACCTCACAATCTTTCCTGGCTTGAAAGATTGAAAATTGAAGCTATTCAGATTAGGAAGAATATTCTCTTTTCTAAAGAGAACAGTAAGGGGGAACGTAAAGGGCAGAGTAAGTACAAAATCTTGCCTTGCAAAATTTGAAAGATTTTAAAAGCATTTATTCCTTTTTGGCAATGAGCTACATTTAAAAAAAAACTAAGGCTGTTTCATAAACAGTTAATAATAGGCTATATAAAGAAAGGTAGAAAAAAGATTGTAGTGATTAAAAAGTAAAGGGTTTATTTTTAATTATTTTGGTGATAGTAGTACTCTCACCTTTGGATTTCTAGATCCATATAAGGAATATTGATGGCTAGCATTCACTTAGCACTGAGAATCTATTATTTTACTCCTTCAGAAATACCCTCTGAGGTAGGGCTTACTGACCTCACCTCTCAAATGAGGAAACTTTGCCCATGAGATAACTAAGGCATTGGGTGTCTGTTTTTGGAATGGCAGCAGCAGGGTTTAAGACTAAGGCTGTCTTGGTTCAAAACTACCTGGTTAATTCTGAGCCCATCCACATTCTCATTAAAGTCACACTCATTATATAATGAGCCAAAGTGAGAAGCAGAACTAGCCAAGATGGCAAGTGACACTCTGAAACTGGCCATGAAGCTAGGACTTGGCAAAAAATAAAAAGAGCCCTCTCTTAAGAATACTATTTGGTCCTGGTGATCTAGAGCCTGTACAGCTAGCTCAGATTTTGATTTTCAAGACAGGAACAGTGGCACACACCTGTAATCCTAGCAGCTCAGGAGTCTGAGGCAGGAAGATTCCAAGTTCCAGGACAGCCTGGGCAACTTGGCAAGACCCTGGCTCCAAAAAGGCCGAGGATGGAGCTCAATCGTAGAGGACTTGCCTGAAACTGGGGAAGGTCCCAAGTTTGAGCCCTAGTGTCCCACAAAAAATCAGATGTTATTAACAAAACTCTCACCCAACATCTGAATAGAGGCCTAGAATTAGTCATTGTTCCAGTCATAGAGTAAAAGAGAATACCACTTAGTCAACAAAACAACTCATCTAGTAGTTACTAAGGACTCACCAGAGACCACTCTCTGGACATAAGGTACAATGGTGGATTAAGTCTTCACCATAGTGGCCAAGGTTGTAGCTCTATGGCAAAGCTCTGTGCACCAACAGAATTATTAGGCAAGGTTTGGAAGAATCAGAAGTTTAAAGACCGGGGACAGAGATGAAGCCAGAGGTCCCAAGCTACTTGACAGGATCCTCTGGGGGATGGCCCCTGTTACATTAACCAGCTGAGCTAAATCTGGGCTGGCTGATCTTCTTAAATCAAGAGAGCATGAGGACCTTTTTGGTAATAAGCTACATTAAGAAACAGCCTTAGTTTTTTTTTTTTTTTTAAACAGTTAATAATAGGCTATATAAAGAAAGGCAGAAAAGGAGAAGAAAAAAATGTAAAGTCCTTGCCCCGAGTAGTTTGGTCTGATGGGGAGACCAGAGTGTTTACACAACTAGAGTAAAACAGGACAAAGCAAAAAACTCAGTGCTAAAATGCAGGTCTGGAGTTCTGAGGGACTGAGAGGAGAAAGGCACCTAGGAATTCTGATTAGTTATTTCAGTGAACATTCTTTCTGCCCCATGTGGTTTAAAAATCTTGGAAGTAAAAAAATTTTGGTGAATAGCTGTCATATTTTCAGAGCTCTGCTACTTCGGTGAGAATAAGAAAAACAACTTCACTGAGAATATTGAGTCTTTGTCTAGAGGTGATGCTGAAAGCTAGCATTTTGTCCTTGTCAGATAAATTTTGGACACTGTGAAAAGCTGGTGACATTGTACCTCTAGAAGATTTTGCAGTCAGTGGCAATAACATCAATCCTTATCTCAGGGTAATATTTCATGATTCCAGTGCCCGAGTTCTCTTCACCCTCACTGTCCTTCCTTTTCATGAAATGGCTTCCAAGGGTGGTTTTAAGGGATGAGCAGCCACTTTCCTGGCCCCCACCATCATAATGCACGACATCTCCAAAAATGCAGTGGCAGCACTCTCCTTCAAAAGGAGGGAGCTCCAAAGCTCTGTGCACCAACAAAATTATTAGGCAAGGTTTGGAAGAATCAGAAGTTTAAAGACTAGGTATAGGGATGAAGCCAGAGGTCCCAAGCTCCTTGACAGGATCCTCTGGGGGATGGCCCCTGTTACATTAACCAGCTGAGCTAAATCTGGGCTGGCTGATCTTCTTAAATCAAGAGAACAAAGCTGTGTCCACCTGAGCCCATGCTCTGAGGGAGTAGTGGCCACAGTCACTTTGTGTCACGAAAGGACACTTCCAGGGTTGCCGATAACATATGACAGAGGTGTAATGCTGCCTAAAGACTGCTGCCTGCAAGAGGGCAGAAATTGACTCTGTGATGCTTTTGTGTCGGAATGCCAGTTTAGACTTGGATATCAAAAACATTTTAGACCCTTTTTATGAAGAAAAAAACATAACTGTTTAAGAGGAGGCACTCTGCGAAGAAAGTGAGCTAGCTAAATTTCAAAACCTGCACATGGAAAAAAAAAAAATTATTCTATGTCCTAGGCCAGCTACATTGTGCTCCATGGAGATGGAGGGGAAAGGCAGTCATTTTAGGTAAAGACACAGATTTGGATAGGGGAAGAGAAGAGGCATTCTTAGCAAGGTAAATGGCAGGGAAGCCAAGAGCAGGGAACCATCATCTTCCAGAGGGCATGGGAAGGCAGTTTGTGGAAGATGCGTGGGACCTCAAAAGGCTGGTGAAGAAATTGGAGGTTTCTGAGCAAGTCAACACAATGGAAGGTGGCCAGGCTGGCAGCACTTCGTGACCTGAGTGGAAGAGGACAAAGGTGGGAAGATGCGGCATATGTGGTACCTGTCAAGCACTGAGCCACAATCATGACCTGAGACAAGCAGTCCTCTGTAGATCAGGTCCTGTCCGACGGCCGTGAGCCTCAATGGTCATATGCTCCGTCCAATACGGGGTCATCAGGTCCACGTATTTTCTTCCAGGCTTGTCTTGGTGAAAGATTTCAGATGTGTTTTTGTTCAGCTTTATTATTATTATTATTTTTAATGGAAGCACAGAAGGCAAAACAGCAGGTCTTGAAGTATGCTGTAGCCAGCATCTCCCGTTGACAACTCCAGGCAAGAAGTAATCTAGCTTCTCAATTAAATGAACTATTTTTGTTGTGTTAGACCTCCTTTTCCCCACTGGCCCTCTCCTCTGGTTGTACGACTGTTCACATTAAGACTTGATTCTTACATAGAGAAAATGCAAACAAGTTTAAAATATCAGTGCTAATAAATAGGTTACTTTACTATATACACTCCATTGGCCAGTGTCATTTTAAAGGGTTTTAATACCTATTATAATCACATTAACTCTGAAATGCCAGTTTTGATGGAGAAAAGCCACTCCAGGATCAGATGATATTATCTGCATCTAAATGAGCCACACAGTCCTGCAAGGAATTACAAATGACATTATTACCCACAAGATAAAATCAGAAGGCCTTCGGCAAACCCCGTGAATTCTAATAAAATCAGATTTAACATTATTTATGACTATGCTTTTTTTCTGTCATTCACATAATTGGAAAAGTGAATTAGAGGCAACAGATTAGACCGAGGGTTTTGGATAATAAAAGAGTTTGGCCATACTGAATGACTGTTTTAAACCGTGCAGACAGCTGCTCCCAGGCTGTCCTGGTCAATTGTAGTACATTGTAATAGAGGCCCAACCTCAGTGTGTAGTTCGGGCTGTCAGATCCACACAACAGGGAAAGAAAATCAATAACAAAAAAGAATGAGACTAAAGGACTAAAAGCAAAAATCTCTCAGAACAAAATCTCTAAACAGTTCAACCCGTAGAGGTTCAAGCCAGAGGTATGACTTTCCAAACCCAAGGATGTCAGTTTGTTTCTGGGATTTGTAGGTAGAGGAATTAATACCATCCAGAATACAAATCCACTTGCAAAAGCTTCCTTCCTTTGAGACAATTCTAAAGGGTGTTTACAGTAGTTCCAAAAGGGAGGTCCCACTATTTCAAGTACAGTTAACATTGCTTATGTTCTTGTAGATGTTAACCAATCCAGACTCATGACTTTTTGCCCGTGCTTTGAAAAGAAATGAGCCAAAGGCAGCCTTCAGGCCCTTTAAACTAGTGTTTGCAAAACCATTAGTTATGAACTCTTGTAGAATAGAAAGCAGCAGAGCTTATCATATTTAGTAAGGATAATAAACAGTAAACACATCAAATCAAAAACACTCCCCAAAGAGGCGGGTTGAATTAATGCTTGTGGGTCTTTTTTTTTTTTTTTTTTTTTTTTAATGGGCAGCTGGGAAATTCCACAAATATGAAAAATTCAGTGTATAATTTCCAAGAATCAGCGAGTCCATAAATATAGTTCCTTTGAAGAGATAGTAACCCTTTGTTGTTATACTTGACATTCTTTGACTACAGTGAGCCCCTCCTTAAGGGAGAAGGGGGACTCCTTTCTGGGAAGTACTTTGTGAATATAAAAGACAACCAGTTCCTTGTTTTCATTATGCTTAATGTAAATGCTGTGGAAAACATCCGTAATTGCTATGCAACTCCTTTGTGAAAAAAAGTCGGCACACTCCTAAACTCTGTTACATCTGCTACGTGTAAAACATTTCTCCTGATAATTTTGTGTTATTTTGCTCCTGCTCTTTGGAGCAGCTGTGCAGTGCTAATGACTTCCCTTATTAGTTAACTCCAGTCCTTTCCTGGGTTTGAAGCATACAGTGTGGAAAAACTTGGCTTTTCGGAAACCTTGTACTTGGCTAATGGATAATGTTTATATCCAGGGCCAAGACGGTGGTAGAATTGTTTCTGCCACTGCTGTTTTTCTAAAGAAAGTTCACTTAGATGAAATGAAGTGTTCACAAATAATTTGTCAGGGCCACGTATATCCAAGCCAGACGTGACAATTAGACTACAGATTAGTGTCATTTCAGGACTGAGTCTTCATAGTCAATTTGCAGTCTCATAAAATGAGACCATGAGACCTATGAATATATTTCAAATCATGGTAGAAACTGTGCTTCTTGGGAATACCTATTATCTTCTAAGACACAAGTAAATTGTTGTTGTCTCCTGGTTTAAGCTTTCCCCTGTTCCTGTCTTTGCTTCCATCAACCTTTTTTTCAGGCCTCTTTTCTGTGGTTCACATTTGGTAGCTACAGAATCTTTTTCTTATAGACTACAACATAGCCAGAGAGATTTTTTTTTTTAAATCCCAATGCATAGGTCAAAAACTGGAATAAGGAGAGATGGATGAATTCATAAATGAAATCATTATACCTTAATATTCTACATATGCTTGTTACAATCATGGCTATAATTATATCAGAAATTAGGATTGGGGAGGTCCTGGTGACTGTCATATTTTATTGCCTAGCACTATCAGTGTGTGTGTGGTCATTGCTTAAAAATAAGGACAAGTTCTGAGAACTGTCTCATTCAGCAGTTTCATCCTTGTATGAACAACATAGACCTGATGATCTTGGTCACCTAGCATTGCCTCTTGATGCAAACCAGGCACGTGGCACTATTGCAGTTATAAAAATGACAGTTTTTTACACTAAACTTGTCTTAGGTGTATGTTGTAAAATAATGATTAAAATATAATGCACAGTTAATTATCATCATCTCATGTGCTTAGGTATATATGCTGTCCTTTGTGTGATTGGTATGGCACAGGTTTGTATCAGCATCGCCACAAGCACATGAGCCATGTCCTGCTCTGGTATTACCACTGTTTCAACTTTTCCAGGTGATGGGAATTTTTCGGCTGCAGTAGGGATCACTGTGGTGCATGCTTTGCAGAGCATAACTATAACTCCTTTGTTTTTTAAAGGCTGTTTAAAACCTTGCTGTTCATTCTCTTCACTAGGAAGTCCAGCGCTGTACAGCTGATATGAACATCACTGCAGAACATTCCAATCATCCAGATAACAAGCACAAAAACAGATACATCAACATTTTAGCATGTGAGTAACAGACTTTAAACCATCTTTGACTCTGAGGAGATTACATTTTCCTGCTGGGTTTAAGCTGACAGGCAAGCAGTCAGAAACAGGGTGCCAAGAAAGAATGATATTTGTGAGCTAACCTCTCCTTAGACCATCTTCAGTAGTGTGGGGACATGTTCGGCCCCCTTAGCCTCTTGTTAGGCTGTCACCATGTGAAATGTTCCAAGCCTATTTTCATGTGAAGTGATAGCACAACAGATGTGGGGAGTCAAAGCTTGGATGTCACTTGGCTGTCTTGACCTTGATTTTAACCTACTCTTCTGTATTTTTTTATACTGTTATTTAATGTGGTGCTGGGGATCAAACCCAGTGCCTCACACATGCTAGGCAAATGCTCTACCACTGAGCTAACCATAGCCCTTAACCAACCTCTTTTTATATATATTTTAGTTGTAGGTGAACATGTTACCTCTATTTTACTTTTGTGTGCTGAGGATTGAACCTAGTACCTCATGCATGCTAGGCAAGTACTCTACTACTGAGCCACAACCCCAGCCCCCCAAATTTTTATAATACAAATAAAATTGGTGGAATTAAGTGCATTTCCAGGCAGTCTGTATAAGACTTCCTAATTGGCCTTTCCTTAAAGGATGAGCCTCCAGTCCTTTTGGCCCATGCATTTAGGTCTATCTTCAGGGCCAAGGGCATGCTGGAGATTAGGGATTCAAACAAATAGGCATTTTTTATATAGAACCTCAAAGAATACTCTCAGACTTTAGGCTACTTCTGTGCAAGGCCACTTTTCATGGACACATAGGACTTTGGCCATTGTTTTTAATATAAAAATCTGGAACTCCTTGAGCACTGACATGACAAAAAGTTTCAGACTAGGGATGCTCAGCCATACAGTCTATGCAAACTATTACAGAATGAGGGGAGGGGAAGAGATCTTGAACACATCTGGTCCCAAACATTTCAGATAAGGATACTCTAACATACAATAAGGACCACGTTATATAGAATTTTATATAATAGAGTTTACACATCACAAAACTTAAAATTTGAACACAACTGGTAAGTTTTTGTAATAAAGCTTTTGGGAGATATAATTCACATATTGTATGTATAAATTTTACCCATTTAAGTTTACAATTCAGTGGGTTCTGGTATATTCCAAGAGTTGTACAGTCACCACAATGCAATTTTAGGGTATTTTCATTACCCCAAAAAAGAAACCTGATATCTGTTAGCTGATATTCCCATACCCTAGCAATCTCTTGTCTACTTTCTTTGGGGACTTACATATTCTGGCCATTTCATCAATATTCATCCAGGTTGTACCCATATACATATACTCATCCATTGCTTTTTTATAGCTAAAAAATACTGCATTTTATGGATATATAAATATTGGTTATTCATTCATTTTCCCCACTTTTTGGCTATAATAATGCTGCTGTGAACATCCACACACAAGGCTTTATGTGGACATGTATTTTCAGTTCTCTTGGGTATACATAAGAGAAGAATTGCTAGGTTCTCTGGCAACTCCAAGTTTGACATGGTGAGGGAACTATCAATTTGTTAGCCAAAGTGGCCGCACCAGCAATAGGTGAAGGGGCCAGTGTCTCTACATCCTTACCAACATGGGTTTTTATTTTTTACATAACAGCCTCTGGGCGTGAAGTGTATCCCATTTTACTTTTGGGAGAGTTTTGTTTGTGGGTATCGGGGATTGAATCCAGGGGCGCTTAGCCACGCAGCCATATCCTTGACCTTTTTTACATTTTATTTAGAGACAGGATCTGGCTAAATTGCTGAGTGTGGCTTGGAATTCATAATCCTCCTCACTCAGCCTCTGGAGCCACTGGGATTACAGGTGTGCCCACGGCACCTGACCCCATTATAGTTTTGATTTGCATTTTCCTTACACTTAGAGATGTTGAACGTCTTTGCATGTGTTTATTGGCTACTTGTATATCTTCCTTGGAGAAATGTCTGTTTTTGACCCTTTACCTGCTTTTTAGGGGAAAAAATGGATTATTTGTCCTTTTACTGTTCAGTTGCAAGGTTTCTTTACAAATATCCTAGATACAGGTCCACTGTCCACTATAAAGATTGCAAAGTTTTTCACCATTGTCTTTTCAGTTTAATGGTGTCTTCTGAAGCACACATTTTTACATTTTGGTGAAACTCGGCTTACTTTATTTTTTTTACTAGTGGCCAGGGGTTTTGGTGTCATATCTAAGAAAGAATTGCCTATTCCAATATAACATCAAGGTTTTTATTTTTTACATAACAGCCTTTGGGTGTGAAGTGATATCCTATTTTATCCCATTTGAGCACTGACATGAATTTTATGGTTTTGGTTTTTATATTTAGGTCTTTGATCCACTGTGAGTTAATTTTTATGTGTGGTCCGAGGTTCTTTTCAGTGAATACATAGGAATAGAGTTGCTAAGTTACATGGTGACATTCCACCTTCATTCTTTTCATGTCCCAGAACCATTTGAGAAGACTTTCCTTTCCCCATTGAATTGTCCTAGTACTTTTATTGAAAAATCAGCTGTCCATGAAGGAATGGGTTATTTCAGGACTCACAATCATATTCTGTCAATCTTATGTCTATCCTTTTGCCAATACTGTACTGTCTTCATTACTGACAGCTTTGTGACAAGTTTTGAAACTGGAAACTGTGAGCCCTGAAAGACGACTTATGAGTCCTCTTTTTCAAGATTCTTTTCGTTTTTCTGGGTCTGTTGTGTTTCCATATGGATTTTTATGATCAACTTGTCTATCACTATAGAAAGAGCTAGGGTTTATTTTGATGGGGATTGACTATACTGAATGTGCAGATTAATTTGGGTATCCCTGCCATCTTAACAATATTGTCCTCCAATCCATGAACATGGTGGTCTTTCCACTTATTTAGGTCTTTTATTTCTTTCATCGATTGTAGTTGGCTGTGTATTTCTTTTGTCAAATATATTCTAATTGTTCACTTTATGGTAGTTTTAGGTTGTTGTCTACTGACAATTTATAAAAATAGTTGATTTTTGTATATTAATCATGTACTATATCCTTGCTGAACCCATTTATTCTAATAGCCAATTTTGTGCATTTCTATAAAGATACTTTTACTACCTCAAGTTTTTGTTTTGTTTTGGTAGATGGACACAATACCTTTATTTTATTTATTTATTTACATGTGGTGCTGGGGGATCGAACCTAGTGCCTCATACATGCCAGGTGAGTGCTCTACCACAGAGCCACAACCCCAGCCCAAGTTTTAAAAGAACTACTTTACTTTCAAAAATTCAAATTAGAATCTTGTATTTTGACAAGTCCAGACAGCTGGGTTTTGTTGTTTTCTTGGTCATTTGGACTTGGGACACATCACCTGTCACTTTTGTCTACCCTTAATATGAATGCCTTTATATAGCAATGTTGTAGAAACACGACATCAGAAAAGCCTTCTCCCTCAGAGCTATTATAATTTTCAGGGTACATGTGGATATCATCAAGCCACCTCTGTTTGTCAGTCTAAGAAATAACAATACAATGGCTAGTGAGGCATAAGCTGCTCTTATCCAGGTGCTGTAGAACAAAATTTTCATTTGCATTTTATGTTAACTGTACATTTTCTTAGAATAACAAAGACAGTAGAAAAATTCAAAGCTCCAAGAAAATAGAGAGCTTTCCAAAAAGTGCTTGGTGGAATCTGGGGTCATTTATCCCTAGGCTAATCCCTGAGTTGACTTCATTTTGAGCTAGCCTTTTTTTTTTTCCTAGTCATTATCAAAAAAAAAAAAAAAAAAAGAAAGAAAAGAAAAAACATCAACCTTTGCCCTTTCTGTTCCTTACTAGAGAAAATTTGAACTTCAGCTTCCCTTCACTACTTCTGTTCTCTTGAAACACTTAAGCTCGCTGTTTTGGGCAACTAGACACATGATGGTCCTCCCCACTCCAAACCGTTTTGTTCCCAAACTAAAAATAGTGGATCTTAATATCTGACCTCAGATTCTTCTTAAAATAACTGGTTTCTTTAGTTGCTTAAGTTCTGTGGAGATGGCAGGGAATGGTATCAACTGAATACAGTTGTTCCATAAAAGTCACTTTTTTCTGTCTGTTAATGGGAAGGAGATAGGTGAGTAGTTCTTCAAAGGCCTTGGAACGTGCTACAGGTGACAGCATGAGGAAGAAGTAGCCCTATGTTTATTTCTGTTTAATAGTTATTCTGCCACAGTTTTCTCAGGACATTCTGATAGATGCCACCTCACCTGATTGCCTTGTCTTTTATTTAGAATGCTACTGGGTTTAATTATAACGCTGTTTTTGCCTTCTCTCCTCCACAGATGATCACAGTAGGGTGAAGTTAAGACCTTTACCAGGAAAAGATTCTAAGCACAGCGACTACATTAATGCAAACTATGTTGATGTAAGTCAGAAACAGTCTTATAAACTCATTTCTGAACAGTGAAAGCTGCAGACTCTTGCATGTATTTGAGTACCGCACAGAACTTTCACTAAGAATGCAGCCTGCACACTGTGGAAGGGACTTGAGTTATTAACCGGTCTTCCATGACACTTCCTTCATCTCACTTTGTACTGTCATCTTTGAAGGGTTACAACAAAGCAAAAGCCTACATTGCCACCCAGGGACCTTTAAAGTCTACATTTGAAGATTTCTGGAGAATGATTTGGGAACAAAATACTGGAATCATCATCATGATTACAAACCTTGTGGAGAAAGGAAGAGTAAGAGCATCTTGGCTTATTATCTTAATAATGCATCATCAAAATATTTTAAGAGTTCTTGCTGTACTGTAGGAACTTGACCAGGTATAAAGAGTTACAAAAGAGATACGTGTTTGCTTTGCTCTTATCATGCCTGTGGTCTGGTGGAAAAGAGAGCTAGGGCATTCGAAGTATGGATTAAATGTGCTGATAAAGGTGTGTTAGGAGATTGCTGTAACATGAAGGAATGCGTTCTCTAGTGCGGAGGCTTTCAAAGGAGTTAATGTTTGAGGTGAAAGGACATTCAACCGAAGAGCAAAAAGCAGGAAAGTTGGAAGATGCATATGGTAGCAAAGAAAGTACTACCAGGACAGGATTGTAGAGGAGTGAGAAGCAATGAATGCTTAAACACCTGGCCATCATTAAGACTTTTGCTTTACATTAAAAAAAAAAAAATTGCTATAGAGTGTACTGGATTACAAGCTTGGACAATAATAAGGTAGGCTAGAATTAAAAGCTAAGCCTCCAGTTCATTGCTTAAAAATCTACTAGTGCTTCACTTTGATTACAGGATCCCTAATTTTCTTTGATGGACCCAAGTTGTAACAGAGTCCCACTTAAGAAAGACCTCCCATAAATCCATCACAGCCTTCCAAATGACATTTAAATTCCCTTTATAATACATCCTACCCACATGTCTCATAGGTTCAATGAAGAGGTTTCTTTCTTAGGCCCTCTTTAAAGTTCTTCATGTATGGAGAGATGATCATAAATACTAGGCCCATTTTTCAGATGATCTCGCCCACATTTAACACAATTCATTAGCTTCTTCAGAGATCTCCTCTGCCTTGACGCATTCAGCCCATGAATTTCTTTTTCAGTCAAATAAATGAATGTTTTAAGGTGGTCGTTTGAAATTCACAACTTTTTTCTTCTTACAGCGAAAATGTGATCAATATTGGCCAACAGAGAATAGTGAGGAGTACGGGAACATAATTGTCACACTGAAGAGCACAAAAGTACATGCCTGCTACACTGTTCGTCGTTTTTCAGTCAGAAATACAAAAGTGAAAAAGGTATCGAGGGAACTGGGTGGGCTGGCAGGATGTCTCTCTTTAAAAACCAAGTTGGTTTTCATACAAGTATAAAAAAGTATTTTTGAGACATTTTTTCATAAGTCTCTGGATATACCATTGTATGGTGGGAGAGGTACTGGCAGAGCACTTAATAGAATGTAACTGGCCCAGACGGTTTGTTGATCTCTTCTTCCAGGAATTCATTCTCTCAAGTTTTGGTAACACTCAGCAAATACTGTAGCATCTGTTTGTTGATGTCACTTTTTAATTCCAATTTCCTCACAGCTTCAGAGCATTGTTTCCCAAAGAGTGTTTTATTCATAGTCCCATGGATGCTTATGAAAAACCAAGTTCTGCTATTCAGTAAGAATGGGAGATGAATGCTAGCTCACATTTTCCCATTTTATAAATTTACAGAAATTACAAGTGACTGGAATGATGGAATTAAGAAACCTGTAGAACCGATTCCTGGTGTGACTTACCCATAAACTCCTTTCTATAGTACTACTAATAGCCTGAAAAGTCACACTGCATGGAAATGCTGCTTTTGAGCTGTTTCAGTTTCCAGCTGAAACTCCACTGTCACAGCAATATTTGGTTCTTCAGATAGATAGCTCAGTAATATGGCAATCATTTGTAGCAGTGGGACCTTTTTTGGCATCTTGGACATGTTTAGAATGTTATAAAATAGTAGCCTCCTTGTCCCAGAAGAATGTACATTTACTCAGACTTTATATACATTTTTGGGTGGCTCTGAAGCCCATCTGTGATCCAAGATTAACAGTCCTTTCTATGTCTAGTTATTTCCCAAAATGGCAGAAATACACGAAAATCGACAGCTCTGTATCTGAGTTCTCTATCATATAGCTGTTGGTCCAAGTGAGCCAGAGCCAATAGACAAAGCATATTACGCATGGGAACCCTTCAGGTGTTTAAACAGGCCCACTGTACCTTCTTCTAGAAACAGCTTAAGTCAGAGATATCAGGATACAGAATACCTGAATTTCCTACTGATAAGAAAAAGCAGAAAAATGAAAGTTTACACACAATGACCTATCAGAGGAGACTTTTCATTCAAAAGGGTTTGTTCTTTAAAGGAAAAGTACTCTGAGAAAGTGGCAGATGCATGAGACCTTGCCTCTGATTCTAGAGATGGAGAATCATCTGACACTTAATATTTTCCCTTCACTTCCTGGAGAATGCACAGCACAACCTGTCCTCCAGCTCCAGAAGGTCTCCCTTCTGGAGACAGTGGGCAGAGTGAGAATCATGGCCCATGATCTAGTTGGGCAGATAAAAGCTAAGTGAGGCAGCATTTAGAAAATGGAGGCCTTGCAGGAAGTTGACCAGAGCTCTGGATAGTTCTAAGACTATGGAGCGTCCAGAAGACCAGAATTAAATGTTCATTCTTGGGATTTTTTTTTAGTTGTAGATGAACACAATATCTTTATTTATATATGGTGCTGAGGAGTAAACCCAGTGTCTCACATGTGCTTGGCAAGTGCTCTACAACTGAGCTATGACTCCATTTCATGAAAAACATTGGGCACAAAGATGAAATAACCTGGCTCAGCACCTGGGGGAATGAAAACAGAGGGCATGGGTCCTAACACCCTTACCTTATTTGTTTCCAGAATGCTCATATGCAGATTAAAGAGGTCTTCTTACATCATTCACAGGGCCAGAAAGGAAATCCCAAGGGTCGTCAGAACGAGAGGGCAGTGATCCAGTATCACTATACACAGTGGCCTGACATGGGAGTTCCTGAGTATGCCCTCCCGGTCCTGACCTTCGTGAGGAGATCCTCAGCAGCTCGGATGCCAGACATGGGCCCTGTGTTGGTGCACTGCAGGTAGAGCCAGCGTCCTTCTCTTTTTTCTACCTGGGATTCAACACATGAAGGGGGCTGAGCAGGAGCTTGGGCCTTGTGAACTTGGACCATGGAAACTCTGCTACTGTTTTGATTACTTGGGCCAAATCTTCCTCTAAAAATGGGATAAATAAACCTGTTAGTCTTTTCAAGTAGCTATATTTCCATCACATTAAGAAATCATTTGAAATTCTGAAAAAAAAAAATCTGCTCAACTAGATGAATCTCTGGTTTTAATAAAATGATCTTATCAGTAAAAGTTCCTATTGTAAGAGCTTTCCACACCAGAGATTATGGCTTTTCTGTAAGGTTCCTCCTAATATTTACAGTACATATGAAAAGATGTTTTTAAAGTTTCTGGTTTATACATGCCATATAAAATATCTTTTAAAAGGCACTTGGGCTTGGGAAGTCCAGGCAGGAGGATAGCAAGTTGAAAGCCAGCCTTAGCAAAAGCAAGGTGCTAAGCAACTCAGTGAGACCCTGAGTTCAATTCCTGGTTACCCCCACTAAAAAAAAAAGCACTTGGAGCTGGGCACGTTGGTGCACTTGTAATCCCAGCCACTCAGCCTTGAGACTGAAGAGAGAGCTTCAGCAACTCAGTGAGATCCCATCTCAAAAAAACAAAAAGTGAATCCTATTTTTTTTTTTCCTTCAACTAAAGTAATTTTAGATGGCTGTTTAAAAATGCTTTGATTACATAGAAATGCTTTGATTACATTTCATTTGCTATTGCATTCTTGACCTTTTGGGTTTTTGTTTGGCTTCAGTATTCAAATGGATGTTACTTATTCTGTGACTGATGTCACAGAGCTGCATGGCATTTTCTCAGCATTTCTTTTGGGCTGTTCTTATAAAATTCTTTCACAAAACAAACCCTTTCCACAAGTTAGAACACATCTTCTACTTGAAATCCCATGAGAACTCTAGTGATTCCTAAATGGATTAGTGAAAAACTAAAGTGGAGATAAGTGTCAAACAGCCTAGGTATTGTGCTAGACAGGAACCTTCTGGGGCATTCTGCCCAAACAAGCTTGTTATTCAGTACTGCAGAATTCAGATCTTCCTGGCTATTTATTTAAATCACAATTAAGAAATGCACATATAAGAAACCAAATTTTCTGAATGTACCATTCTCATTCTACAACTGATTACTAAAGAAAAACATCCCTTATTTAAATAGGAACTGTCTAATAATGAGATCATTAGTTTCTTAGATGTATGCAACAGAGGCAGATGTACAGAAAAGGGGTTTATTAAAAGGATAATGCATACTCAGACTTCCTGGGAGAGTTGGAGAACCAAGCGCAAGTTCAAAGGCTGCCCACACAGTGCCTCAGCAGGCCAGTCGTGGTGTGGAGATTGCTGCTGCCATGAGACGCCTCTCAGTCCCTTGCAGCTGGAGTCTCATGCCTTTGCTTGAGCTGCAAGGGAGTCCGAGTGCACACCCTTTGTCTCCCAGCTCCTATGGGAAAGTCTGTACTCCTTGTCAAGATTGTTCATAGTGAGACGTGTCCTAGTGAAGTTTTGAGGTGTAATCTATGTGAATATCCTTTGTCATTTATACTAGGTTATCTAGACAAGAGGGTTATTTCTCATTTCATTAGATACTTGCATTGTGACCATGGATTGGGGGGGGGGGATGACAAAGTCCTAGTTGAGTGCCTTCATTCTTTACAGCGCTGGCGTGGGCAGGACAGGCACCTACATTGTGATAGACAGCATGCTGCAACAGATCAAAGATAAAAGCACAGTCAACGTCCTGGGATTCCTGAAGCATATCAGGACACAGCGCAACTACCTCGTCCAGACAGAGGTAAGGAGTGACTGCCAGTGCGCTCTTGAGATTCCAAAAGTTGAGCCACACTGGAGGGACAGATTCATCCTCTTAGGGCTCGAAGGAATTTACAGGTTTGTATTAGAAGATACACTGACCACAATTCCACTCTTTGGATCACAGGATTTTGTTTCGATGTGGATCTTAACATCATCTCAGTAATCAGATAAAGTTGCATCAAGAGCTGTGTTAGATGCTTTGGGAGTTAAACATGTTTTCTGGCCTGAAAACATAGTAGATGATGGGTCTTAAGCCCTTCATTAAGCACACATTCTCAATTGCTGGCTGCATTGAACCACCTGTTCCAGGCATGGTGTGGAATTATAATGGAAAAGGAACCACCTAGTGACAAATGCTTGAAGGAGCTCACTAGGAAGTCCCTTATGGGAGCAGAGTTAACCTAAGGCTAACTTCGTGAATGGCTGGCTACCTCCACATCTCTCACTGGTGATCACCCCATATCGTACCTTTCAGGAGCAGTATATTTTCATCCATGATGCCTTGTTGGAAGCCATTCTTGGAAAGGAGACTGAAGTATCTTCAAATCAGCTGCATAGCTATGTCAACAGCATCCTCATACCAGGAGTAGGAGGCAAGACACGACTGGAAAAACAATTCAAGGTAGTGCTCTGAAAAACTTCTTGAGCAAGGAAGCAGAAAAACACCTTGCGTTTGGGATCATGTCTTCTTTGCGTTAATGTATAGAAGGAGTATCTACGTAAACACCACCATTATGTATTGGTGGTGTTTAAGTAGATAGTACAGTGCTGTATTGTCTTCTGAGTAATTTACAGCTTTATCCAAACAAATATCATCCTCTGGCCACAAGGTACAGAAGACTTGAATGGTTTGTTCTGGTCCAAAAGAGTATTCAGGATGTTTCTTCTGACCTATGCAATGATACCTTTATTCACAGTGGTTATTTGTAAATATATTGTCCTCAAAATATGCCTTTTTAGAAAACTAGACCAAAAGAATTTGGAAACTACAAGAGTTACTACTATACTAAACAATACTATAGAAAAGTTAACTTTCCCTAAAATGGTTATTTTTCTTTGGGGACATGGTGAAGTTCAAAGGCAGTTAAAGTTTATATGGACTCGACAGAAGTAAAGGTGGAAAGAGAGACTGTGAGGGCGAATAAATTAATTTAGACCAGAAAAGCTCAAAGAAATAATTGTAACTTACTAATGCCTCCTGTCTTTCCAATTACTGAGTGCCTTCCTATTTATTAGTCTATTCAATTCTTTTTTTTACACAGTGTTCCATATGTGATTTCTCATTTTGTGTCAAGAAAATTAATCTGCAGTTTTAGTTTTCAATGGTAAGGTTTTCCAGAGTCTGAAACTTTCATTTGACTCTTAGCTGAAGAAATGAGACAGCCAAGCAAATTATCCCAGGTGATAGGAATGGATTCAATGAAAGTAATCTATTTTCTTTTCATAACAATAATTTTACACTTCTGGCTCTTTATGTTCCTACTACAAAACCATTTGAGGCAATTAATTGTGAGGACACAATTTATCATTTTAAATGTTTACAATGAGTTCTTACAAAATATTAAGTACCAACATTTCATCTGAATCTTTTTTGCAGAATTTAAGAAGAGTTCAGAGACAGGAAAGTGTTACTGTGAAAACTAAAACTGCACAGATTCATCTCATTATTTGCATCTTGACACAATATAAGAAACCACGTGCAAAAAAATAAAAATTGAAAAGACTAATGACAGCATCCTTAATTCAAAAATCTGAAATCCATAATGTCACAAGTAGAACCATGAGCCTTGTTTAAAATTACCTTCAGGATAGATATTATATACACACACACACAAATTTCAATCCTAACAACAATTTTAAATTTATAGCTGTTAAACATCCTGGCTATTGTAAAGCCATTTGATTCCCATCTTTAAAATGCAAAATTTTACATATACACAGAAATATATTCCAAAATCCTAAAGAATATGACACTATGTTAGTTCCACCCATTTTTGGATAAGGGAGACTCAACCTGTATTAGTTTGCATATCCCTTTAAAAAAAATTCTCCAAAGAAATCAGCTCAATTGGAAACCAGGTTATTACAGGCACTAATCATTTTAGAACTCAAGAAGGAAAAATCAGAAACTCAATCATGAAAATTACCTCTAAGGTGTATTATGGTAGTAATAAAGCACTTGAAGACTGTACCGATACACTCATTAAGGTAGACCCACACAAAACAGATTGATTATTCTCCTGTTTACCTAGCTTGATTGAACTGAACTACTGATTTTTTTGGTATGGGAGAGTGAACATAGGGGCGTTTAATCACTGAGCCACGTCCTCAGCCCTTTTTCATTTTATTTTGAGGCAGGGTCTCACTGAGTTGCTTAGGGTCTTGCTAAGTTGCTGAGGCTGGCTTTGAACTCCTGACCCTCTTGCCTTAGCCCCCTGAGCCACTGGGATTACAGGTGTGTGCCACCAAACCTGGCTACCGGGCTGATTCTTAATAACGGCTTTAGAACAATGTCAGTTCAACAGAAATGTACCCAGAACTTAAGTTCTTCATCTTCAAGAGTAGAGTCACTTGAGTCTTATGGGCCCCTGTGGAATTATGGACAAAATGCACAATAGCAGTAACCTATGCAACAGCAAAACTCCACACAGTTCAATCATTACTACACACAGTCCCTGCCAGAAGCCTAAGGCTGACAGTAGAATTAAGACAAGGACACAATCAAGGTCACAGAAAGACGTGCTACTAGTGAAGCAAGAGAGCATTCTTCAGGGCATAAAAATGTTGTTAGTAATCTTATTGATATTGTTCCAAATTGCCTAATAGGTACTATTGGTTATACCCGTGAATGCAGACTAAATTGTTGCTTTTCTTTCAGCTTGTCACACAGTGTAATGCAAAATACGTGGAATGCTTTAGTGCTCAGAAAGAGTGTAACAAGGAAAAGAACAGAAACTCCTCCGTCGTACCATGTAAGATCTTAACAGTTTGATTAGTTCAGTGTGTTGGTATCTTTTTAAATTGGGTTTCATATAATCTGTAAAGAGGCAAATGTTATGTTGAACTGAGTCAAAGTGGAAGGGTGGCTTTGGTGCCAGCAGTATCTGATGTGAACTCAACATTTCTCGGTGAGCAGAAGATAATCTCAGGACACAGTAGAGGACATTATGGGTGTGCACTATAGACACAGGCATGGCTGCTCATTGGAGAGGTGAAAAAGGCCCCTGCTTTTATAAGCCTTTAATGGACAAAAAGAGCAAAGTATACTTTTAGGAATACCAAATCTCAAACCCTCTCGCATGTCTGTACTGTATAGTCTCTGAGCGATCTGCTATGAAGACCTCTTGCACAGTAAAAAAAATTTTGATTCCTAAAATGTTTGTCCTGAGCATGTGCAATAAAATTTCATTTTACATTGTTTTAGCTGATAACACTTTTAGCTTCTTTAAATATATAGGTATAAGTCTTGGACAGGGAGCCAGGGGATAAGTAAATCTCAGAAAGAGCTGTTGGTTCCTATTTATAATATGGTGTTATTTTTTTCCATGTGATAGCGGAGCGTGCTCGAGTGGGTCTTGCACCATTGCCCGGAATGAAAGGCACAGATTACATTAACGCTTCTTACATTATGGTGAGTCAACAGCCCATCAGACATAAAGTCCATTAAACTGAAAGGTGTTAAAAGAACAGATACCACCTATGCCACAGATTCTGGTTTTGAAATATTCTGTGTAATATCAAACAGATTGCTGTATCTTGATATTTTTGTTGTCCCATAGTCTGGTTAAAAATAACTAAATGAAGCAAAATGCTTCTTAAGGAATTAATGTTGAAATTAGAGTTAAAACAGCAGGGGTAACTTGAAGTGAATTGCACTTGGAGAGAAAATTGTATCGTGTTAGCCGAAGTACATCGAAGAATTAGACAAATGTATTGAATGCTTTCCTCAGTTATTTTAGTAGGGTCAAAACAGTGCTGTTTTGTTTCAGGAGTATATTTTGTCATGTCATAAAGTTAGAAGCGAACCCTCATAATCACTGATTTTTCCCTCTTCCTAACTGAAGGGCTATTACAGGAGCAATGAATTTATTATAACCCAGCATCCTCTGCCGCATACTACGAAAGATTTCTGGCGAATGATTTGGGATCATAATGCGCAGATCATTGTCATGCTGCCAGACAACCAGAGCTTGGTGAGTACAGCACATCTGCTATATATTAATGAGCCCGGGAGGCTACAAACATAAATTACTCTGATACCTTGCCACAGGGCTGTACTGTCTGTAGGTGCTAGGGAGGAAACTTAGACTTTCTGTGGGGGTTCACTTCACTTATTCCTGTGTGTTCCATTATTTCTCTAATGCTGATGACATTACCCTTCAGTTGTACTCTATGTGGTGGAAAGTTTCAGAAAAAGGTGACTTTAGACCGCTGAGCTGCTGTACGTCATATTTCATGTATGGAATCTGTAACTATGCTTACTCTCAATATATTAACCCAGTGAAGCCTCACACCATCTTTAATGACATAAGTACTACTACTCTCATCTAGTAGCTGAGAAAATAACTGACTTATCCAAGAGCATGCACGAACAGTTGGAGCCAGGATTTGGATCTAAGTCATCTTGCCTTCAGAGTTCATGCTTTCAATTGATTTTTTTTGTTGTTGTTGTTCAGAAACAATCATATCAGAAGTACTACTAATATATCAGGGTCAGACCCCCTGCAGGGAAGAGAGGCTTTGGGGGTCCCACTTAAGATTTTGACTAAGCTACAATTTCTTTCCCTACTTTAGTCATTCCCTATGGAAGCCTAAACTCTGTAAGCGATGGGTGAACAAATTTATAAAACAGATTTACACATTTCTGCTTAGATCTCCTGCATACTTAACTTTCAGAATTATCTGGGTCTTAAAAAGGTTACTATGTGGACATGTGAACCCACAAGATACTCATGGAGGCACAGCCTCATTGTTTTTGTCAGATTAATGAGTTTTTTAATCAAGAAAGAACAGCCTGTGATTGAACCCCTAGTCTCCATGACATGCGTTTGACTGTGTGCCCAGTCAGTAGGAACTTCTTCACTTTGTCGCATTTTGCTCCAGCTTCAGAATACCAAGGCTGCTTCTGTATGGTGGAATGGCAGCAAAGTTGAGAATCAAAAGCTGGAGTGTAAATTTTCAAATTAGCTGGCAACAAGGGTCTATTCAGTTTGGCATGTGGAAATTGGAGGCTTTTAGGGTTAAAACAGTCATTTGTTGGATGAGTCAGTATTTTCTTATTGTCACTTAACAGAGGACAGGCACCATAAAGTATCTACCAGGAGCTCTTTTGTATGGACTGGACCCAATAATAAGGGGTACATGTTCTATGGACGGCAAAGGTACAGGAACCACTATCGAACGCATCTATGTCTCCGGGAGGCTGGGCTAGAATAAGTGTCTGCTCTCAATTGTGAGATTAAGAGTTTCGTCATTGCACAGTTTTTCTAAAAATGAGCTCTAGATGATTCTTATTATTGCTACTTGTCTCTACCAAAACTGTTTAAGACAATAATCCTATAAGTAGCCTAAAAGTCACTGGTTCCTAATTCAGAAAGCACTGTTATCAAGGCTTAGACTTCTTTGAACTGTATTTGACAGCAAAATAATGACTCCAGAATGCCTGCTGAATTAAGAAGCAGTACTTGATTTCTTAGTCTTTCAAGATGAATAATTATTCCCTAGTTTGATTTCTCCATTCCAAAGTTTTCTTCTGCCTTTCCTTCACCATAGTTAAAATGTCTTTAATGTCCTTTAGTTAGGTAATTTACTATTCCTGTTTCTTCGAGGTATGTAGTTTTTTTATTCCCCCTTTTCAGACATGGAAATTAAGACTCAGAAAGACTAACTTATTTGGGATCACATCCGATCTTAGTCCTATGTTTAATCTGTGTACATTGTTTAAATTTAGATGCCCTGCTCATCATTACTTTATACCAGGAATATCTGTTTATGGGGCCATACTTCCGTTTCCTTGGACAGAAAATATAAACCCACAACAGTTACAGACTTCTTTTGTATAGACTAAACCCAATTGCTAATCTGTTTCCCCTTATGCTGAGCTTTAAAAATAAAAATGTACTTGGCAATAAGCTACATTGAAACTTGAAAGGGTGATAAGTCTTATTGGACTGTTGGCTCATTTCTAATGCAACCATGTAGGATTAAACAAAGCCTTCTTTGTTTTGAACATTATTCAGAATTATTTCTGACTTCAATGAGAGTAGCTAGGCATTTTCAGGAATATGCCCATAAATATGTACATAGTACAGGCAAACTGGAATTTGTCATTTGAGTTAAGAAAGTTAATTGTTACATAGGTTGGAGAAGATGATGTGTGCCTGTCTCCATTTTCTTAGGCAGCTAATGTAAAGTTGAAGGACTTTCTGTGTTATCCCCCTTGAAATGCTGCTGGAACTAGAGATCAGAATAGCTGTTGTGGGAAACAACACAGAGAGGTTCTAGTAAGAAAGTGAAAACTACCACATCACCAAGAACCTATCCAAAGAAAATGACATCACCACCATGTAAAGATATCTGACCTTCCATATTCACAATAGCCAAAACATAGACGCTACCTGAAATGGTGTGTTTTTCAGCCCCCAAAAAAGACACAGATCGTGCATTCGCCACATTGAGCTTGGAGAACATTATGTTAAGTGAAAGAAGCCAGACACAGAAAAATATTGCATACTCTCTAAAAGTTTGATTTTTTTTTTTAAAAAAATTAGAGAACAAAGCAGTATTTATAGGGGAAGGAGAAGTTTGTCAAAGGATACAAAGTAGCAGAAATGTGGAATGGATAAGTCTAGGAACTAAAATTGAACTCAATTTATGCTGTTGTCACAAAAAAAGGTTTTTGACCATAGTAACCTTTTTACTATGTGTATCCCATAACATGATGTTGCATTCTTTGTAGAATAAAATTTATTTTTAAAACATTCTTTATCTTACTACCATATTGTCAAAATTAAATAAGATAATGCTTGTGAACATCCTTTACAAAATATTCAACTATAGATTTTTTTACTAACATAATTCTTAGGAACTAACAGCATGACTTGGGTACTTAACCAATTATAAACTAATAAAATTAACTGGCCTACATCCCCAATGGAGCCAGTGTTTTGGGGGGTTGTTACAATGACATGTGAGAGGTGCTGGGAAATGGCTCTCAAAATGTATTTTATAGTACACTACAATCACCACTGAACTCAGCATGACTAGGAAGGGATATAATTCTAACCGGAAAGGTATGGGAAATGGCAAACTTAAGAAATAATTTTGCAAGACAATTTAAAAAAACAAATGTTTGACAACACTGCAAGATAGGGGAAAAAAAAAAACAACGTTTTTCTTTGTTCCCAAAGGCAGAAGATGAGTTTGTGTATTGGCCAAGTCGAGAAGAATCCATGAACTGTGAGGCCTTTACTGTCACCCTTATCAGCAAAGACAGACTGTGCCTCTCTAATGAAGAACAAATTATCATTCATGATTTTATCCTTGAAGCTACGCAGGTAACTGAAACCTCAGTTCCTCTGTAATAGGCATACCTAGGCCCTGGATCATTCTTTTAAGTAATAATGGAGTAATTTGCCACCCTCAAGACAGGCCCAGGCATTTGAGTAAGACAGTTTTAAATATGTACATTTCTTTTTTTGATTCCTTCAAATACGTGCTTTTTCCAGCGGGCTAGGTGGAAAGTAACAGTGCATGCTACAAATCTGTCTGTTGACCTGATTATAAAAACAATTAGAGCTCAATATTTTCTTTGCCATCAGAAATGTAAGCCTTGCAATGTGTTACAGAGCCAATGATGGATTTTTTAGTAAACATTTTTTAGTGTATAATAAGTACTTTCTTGTGACAAGAATGGGGGGCTCTTCAATTTCAATAATGATCACTTAAACCCATTTTTCTTTAATTTTACAAATCAGAGTGAGGAATAAAGCCTCTTACAATTTACTGTCACTTGAACAATGATATTCTAGCATGACTTGTTCAATTTTTTTTTTTTTTTTTAACCAGCTACAGTTTGGTCAACCTGACATTGGTTCCGAGTAACCTATAGCTTTTCAGTGAGCAAGTTTCATTCAGTTGACTGATAGGAAACAATAGACAGGCTGTGACTCATGTCATATTGTTTACAGGATGACTATGTCCTAGAAGTGCGGCACTTCCAGTGTCCCAAATGGCCCAACCCAGACGCCCCCATAAGCAGTACCTTTGAACTGATCAATGTCATCAAGGAAGAGGCCTTAACAAGGGATGGCCCCACCATTGTTCATGATGAGTATGTATCTATTGTTTATTTTAAAATCCCAGACCCTGCAATGTATGTTAAAAAGGAAAGCAGAATTTTTAAAAGCTACCCTCCCTCTGGGATTACTTTTAATGTGTACTTGCACAAAGTGTTATGGTTCTGTTTACATTTCAATAATCACATCATTATTTATTAGCTATTTACATTGGTTGAATAGTTGCATTTATTTTAAACTCCTTAGACTGAATTTCAGCAGACATTTTTCAGAGAAGGAGCCTTTTAAAAGTATGATTTAGTTATTTAATAGTGATAGTTATTAATAATGATGTGGTTTAAGGTTTATAGCACTGTCCTGGGGGACTTAAAGAATATGAATCTCACCGAGAACAAATTACTTGTGCCTGGTCTCAGGGCTTCTGAAGGTCAGAATGGTATTCAACCCAGCATCTTTCCACTTAAATAAGGAAAGGGTCATCAAGTATCTTATGGAAGAGTCAAACTCTTGAAAGCTAAAGTTAACTTGTCAGTCAATTGCAAAACCCTGCATCTTTTAGAATCATACCACCCTTTAACTAGTGTAGAATCAATTATCCATCCTCTTGAGTTCCAAGGAAGCTCCCTAGATCAACAACTTCTCAGTATATCCCCTCTATGACCAATTACTAGCCAAGTGTGATGGTACATGACTATAATCCCAGCTACTTGAGAAGCTGAGGTAGAATGATCCTAAGTTCAAGGTCAGCCTGAGCAATTTAAAGAGACCCTGTCTCAAGATAAAATTTTAAAGTGCTGGACATGTGGCTTGGTGATAGTGCTTGACTAACATGAGGCCTCAGGTCCAATCCTCACCACAAAAATTAAAAATAGTGACTTCCAATTTATTAGCACCTTCACAATTAGCAAGATTAAAAAAGCATCCTAGTTGAAGTGTTAACTAAATAACACACTAAGATCCATCCCTGGAGATGTGATAACCACTATCAGTGTTTAAATGAGGCAGCTGCTTTGGATCCAAGAAACTCTGTCCTGTAGTTTCAGCATGAAATTAGGGCTGCTTCTAGAGCCCCACCCATCTAGATTGACTTTTCAAATGTATTGTGACCTAAAGTCATTAATGCAGTTAATCTTATATATCATGATGGGGAAAGAAAACAGCAAAACACTAGACAGAACCATTTGATTCACTTGTCTGTTAAGCTTCATGTGATTAATTCCAGAGGTGACATAAAAGCTAATTCTTAGCCCGAAACAGGCACAGAGCAAATGCAGTCAAGCCCAATGGATCTGCAAGTGTCATAGAGGCAGACACTATGAAAAGCCACTGCCAAAATATGCTAATTAATTTCTCTATCATCTATGGGAGATTCATTCATTCAACAGATATTACTCAAGAGCAAACGTAGAATTTTTCAACAGTTGCTAGCACTAGTGCAGTGTCCTAAAACACCAGATAACTTTCAGTTTCCACCTTATATATTTTTGGTACCTATAAACATCCCTTCCTGGTGGCCTGCACCTTCCTCCAAACTCATCATCCCCACTCCTGTCTCCATTCACTTAGCTGCACAAACCAGAAACCCATCAGAGCCTTCTTGGGAGTCTCCCTCATCCCCACGAATTATCGCTATACATTCTTTAAAGATTATTTTCAACATCTTTTGACAACCTAGTTTAGGTATACATTTCCATGTGCCATCCCAGTCCTCCACTGAAGACTTTCCTGCAGACCACCTTGTCCCTTTTGTTTAACACACAGTCCAAGAGTCACTTTTCGAAACCATCTCCACAGCTGGTAATGTCACATTCTCAGTCATAGTATGACATGATACATAGGAATAAGTTTGAGCACTATTTGTGTACATGGCCTGTTGCTCTAGAGGGTGAAGCCCAATGCCTGGGATATAGTGGATGCTGGATAACTATTGTATGAATGCGTACTTCACATTGTTATGACTTGAAAACTCTTAAGAATACATGCCCCTATGGGAATTATATCCACAGAGCCTTGTTAAGTCATTTTTTCTGCAAACTATAAGATCAATTTACAGGATGTTTTTAAGCTCTGTCCAAAGTAAGAATGACCACTCTTGCCTTGCACGCATCCAAAGAATCAACCTTATTGTACATAAACATCACAGTACTGATTTGGTCTTCATAGACATAACACCTGTTCTCAAGTTATAGACCAGATGGAAGGCATTTTCCAGAGGATAAAATTCCTCACCAAAAGTCAACTTTTAGAGAACAAGTGGAGCTTAAAGGCAAACTGATGTACTCTCAGCATCCTCTATTCACTATCATTCCTGTAAGTTTTTAAATAGCCTATGTAGACAGTTAATTGTAGATTAGACCACCAGCCATATCATCCCCTTTACTCACAGAATGAGAAATAGTTTCCTGTGTAAGTACTCGACCTTAATTATTCACTCTGGAGGTACATCTATCTTCCTATTGGATGTCACAGCAGTTCCCAAAGTGTGAGTTGAGGACCACTGGGGGAAGGGTGGTGGCTTCAGGCCTTTCCAGGAGACCCAGGCAGTCAAAAGTGTTTTCCTATTAAGACACTGGCTGCCCTCACAGCGCTACTTGACATATGATGAGATCTTCATTCCATTCTCAGGATTAGCAGAATGTGTGCATGTTCTTGTATCTTAACATGTTTTCAACATAAGTCAGTGCTTACTCTACTAGAAATTTATCTAGTCCACATAAGCAAAAGCTCAATAAGTACCCTTTGGATTTGGTCCTGAAATCAAAGAGTCTGTTTGAATAGTGTTCTATTTTGTAAGAAATGCAGATTCCTCTCTGTACCCACTAGTGCAAAGATACACACAAATCACAGCACATTCACTTATTTCCATAATCTCAAAATCATCTCACTAATAAATTTTATGATCTCCACCCCACGTAAACAGGTTAGAGTGAGTTGCCTAGGAGCTGTGTAGACTTCTAGTGTCAGGCAGAACCAAGTCCATAATTAGTAGGTTCTAGCGTAATATGGAGACCCCTTACTAAAAAAATGAAGAATCTCCACATGGCAAATGCACAGCATTACACCAACTGCAGGACCAGGTCCATTGAGGCAAAGGGCCCTATGCAGTTCATAGGAAGCTAACCCTAGGCATATGCAAAGTCACACATTGAGTGAAAATATTATATGGTGTGTGAGTGTAAAGAATGGCTAAACGAGGGAAAAGCACACTCCATCACAAAGATAAGGATTGTTATCCAACTTTTCTGACTGGCTCTAAAGAGCTAAAGGTGGGGGCCACTGAGGTTATTACACTAGAACCATTCAGAATAAGTGAAGTTCAAATACTATGCTAACATAAGGTCAACTCAATACAATTTGAAATCAAAGGAAAAAGAACATCATGACTAGTAAGCAAAAAACAACAAATCAAAGTTCACAGAGTTGATTAAAATAACATGCTCAGGGATCTATAGGAAGGTTTCATGAAATAATTAAGAATATGTGTTATGAAGCAGGAAAAAATATTATTTGTAAAATTAAAACCTAAGAGATAGGCTCGTAGTGGAATGTGCTGAGCTAAATACAGACATCCTAACATATGCTTGAGAGGTGATCTTCAGAGAGACAAGACAACAAAGAAGTAATGACTGAGGTTTTCTAGGCATTGAGATCTTCAACTGAAAGATCAGGATAGGATACTTTTCAAAATTAACCTTCTGAGAGATTTGAAAGCCACAGCTATTCTGATAGCATCAGAAAGAGGTCTGTACCCAGAAGAAATTGAAAAGACTGTGAAGTGTCTCTCCTTACAAACACTTTAAACAACAAAAGCCAAAATTTGTAATTTCAGTTCATTCCTAAAAAATTGGATGCCACACATGGCCACACTTGTTGATTATAATGCATTAATATTATTAACCCACATTGAAATAAGATTCCCCAATCCTTATGCCTAGAAGCTGAAAGTCTTACACCTATAATTACTTATAAATAATTCATGGATTAAAGAGGTAACCAAAATAGAAATTGCAAAATGCTTAAGACTACATGAGAAAGGCTTTGCATTTCAAAAACTTGGGGAGGATGAAACCAAAGTACATTCAGGAGAAGGAAAAAAAAATATGTGGCCCAAGTTACATCTGTTAAAAATAAACAGCTTTCAACTAAAGAAGCCCCAAAATACAAGGAATTAAGCAAACAGTAATGAAAGAGGAGGAGCAAGTAAAATTTAAGCACTAAAGTCTAATAACAACTTTGGCAAATGTGAAGAAAAAAAAGGGAGATAAATTAAGGTTTAAAAAATAAAACCACCATTTTCTGAGTTACATTGAGAACATTTGAGAATTGTTAATAGTTTTATTCATAATTATTTTAGTACAAAATACCTGGATTGTGTCAACATGGGAGGGGAGGACCCAGATGAAAGTGGAGCATCCCTAAGCCAGGTGCGACTGAATGATGGCTACATGAAGGCCACTGTACTGTTGTATATTTGTGTATTTAACAAATAGATATTTATTGACAACTGTGACTTTAAGCCTTGATGATATGCATATTAAGATAATGTTTGCTGAACACACAGTATTGCCCACCTCTGCTCTTAGCCACTGACATGCATCAGCTGAATTTTAAGCTCTATTTAACTATGAGAGCTTAACCAGCTAGTGTACCTGAACATGCCCTGCTTTTTCAGCCTCAGATCAGGATAATAATAGTATCCACACCATGGTGTTATTGGGAGGAGTAAGTTGGTACATGTAAAATACCTAGAGTAGCACCTGGCACATAAATGATTAAAATTTGAAAAACAAAAAGTTGTTATCCAATGTTAGGACCCACAAAGTCCTAACTGAGGCTACATCTAAACAGTAACAGATAAGACTTTATGCAAACCTGATTAAAACAGACAAGACTGGCACAAGGAAAAAACAAAGGCTAATCTTACATATTTGATTATGGATATGAAACTTTAAATTGTCTAATAAAACCCAAATATAGTCAGAGAGTGGCACATTATAAAGTAAGATTTATTCTGATGATGTACTGCTGGTTAAATGTCACAAGAAATCTATTAGTAAATTCAGGACATTATGAAAGGGATTCCAAAAAGTTAATGGGAAGCATTCAATACTCTTGACCATCCCAAATACTCTTGGCTAGCTAACTAAAAATGGTAAGTATTTATCAAAAAGCCTAGACCAGTTACTTTTATTTTTTAGTGAAAACTTAGGCTCTGCTTTTTATGGTCAAGCTTCCAAACCAAATTTTGCTCTGTGACTGAATACAAGCTCAACTATAAACCTGGATGGAGTGGGGTGAAAGGCTAAAAATATCTGTAAGTGAATGTATAAGTGAACATAATATATGGGCTTGGGGCATAGCTAAAACACATGTTTAGCATGCATAAGGCCCCAGGTTCAATCCCTAGCACCAAAAACAGAAAAAAATTTGTAAGATATTTAAAACACTAAAAACAATGTGAAAGAAATAGCCAAAATTATTATGGAAAACGATCAGATGTAAAAATTTAAGACCTACAGGCATTCAAACGTGGACTAGCATAAAAAATAGAGAACAGAGTTCAGAAACAAGCTGCATAAGTGAGAATGTAATATCTGAGAAAAGATCAGAGTATTTAATAACAAATGTTGGAAAGTGGTTATCCATTGGAAAAAAAAATAAGTCAGATCATCAAGACTGATGAATTAAGTAATTAAACAAAATAGAAAATACAGAATTTTTAAAAAATATTTTTAGTTGTAGATAGCCACAACACGTTTTTCTTTGGTGGGGGAGTGAGAGAGAGACTGCGGCAGTCAACCACAGAGCCAAGTCTTACCGAGTTGCTTAGTGCCTCGCTTTTGCTGAGACCAGCTTTGAACTCGCAATCTTCCTCCTGAGCCTCTGGGATTACAGGCATGTGCCAACATGCCTGGCTCACAATGTCTTTTTTTTTTTTTTCCTGTGGCACTCAGAATGGAACCTAGTGCTTCCACTTGCTAGGCAAGCACTCTACCACTAAGCTACACCCCCAGTCCCAGGAGAATACCTTTAAAATACTGGGCCAGGGAAAGCATTAAAAATGTCAGAAGTTAAAAAAATTGATAAACTTGATTGTATCAAAACTATATACTCCAATATAATAAAAAAGAGCACAATGGTAAGAGAATAGGGGGAAAATAGTAGCAACATATACTACAGACAGTATAAAATGACTCCTATAAATACATTTGAAAAAAAAAACAAAACTAATAGAAAATTGTCCAAAGTATAGTAAGCCATTTCAGAAAAAGAAATACAGATGGTCAGTAAAAAAACATTCAGCTCTCCTAGTAATCAAAATGTTCATTAAAAAAAGTTAAGAGGGGGCTGGGGTTATGGCTCAACGGTAGAGGGCTCGCCTTGCACGTGCAAGACCCTGGGTTCGATGCTCTGCACTACATAAAAAAAAAATAAAGGTTTTAAAAACAAAAAGGTTAAGATACACTTTCTCACCTAACAGACGGTCAAGAGATTTTAAAGTTTAAAAGGATGAGGAAGCAACAAGTATTCTCACCGTGGCAGTATCTTTTAAAACTAAAAAATGGACAAGCCTTTGCTCTAGCTGTCCTACTCCTGGCATCTGCTCAAGTGCACAGACACAAGTTAAACGTCCATCAGTAGGGAAGTGAGAGCTGGGCCAGCATGTATCGAAGCACCTAAATCTGGAAGGCTGTACCTAAATGTATTAAGATTTTTGCCTCTGGAAAAAAATTTTTTTGAGAGAGAATTTTATTTATTTTTTAGTTTTCGGTGGACACAGCATCTTTGTTTGTATGTGGTGCTGAGAATCGAACCCGGGCCGCACGCATGTCAGACGAGCGCGCTACCACTTGAGCCACATCCCCAGCCCTAGAAAATTTAACTTAAAGATTGGGTGACGATTAAACTGGACTTCATTCTTATGACGTAAACATCATAATATTTTCATCTTAAGAATGATTTCAGAAACTCTAGTTAGTAGTACTTCAGAGAACAGCAGCATGGGGCATCGAAACACTGATCTATCTTCTGCTGTGAATGAGCAATACCACCTTGAACCATTTGTTTTCTCATTACACACATGGAAACACTGTGCCATCACAGATTCCTGGGCTGATCTTTTTTGTGAATCAAAGAGAACCAAATTTATTTTTCTAAGGATCTTATGGAATCTCCTGTCATTTGGAAAGTTCCTCTTCATTGCCCCAAATAATTTAGATGAAACTAATTTTGAAAATTCAGACTTTGAGCCATGTTCAGTCACATGTCACTTAATAATGGGGATCATTTGATTACATCTGAACTATACTGTCTGATGACGGGGGTGGGGGAGGAAGAATATCCAAAAGCACTGTTCGGCGACTTGGTTGCTGTGGGAACATCACAGAGTGTACTCTCACACTCCTAAGTGATGAAGACAAGTATTTTTGTACCGTGCACAGTTGTCTATGCTGTACTTCTATATGTGATGGCAGCACAGTGGGTATGTTTACGCCAGTTTCAACACACACACACGGAACATGTTCCATGAAGATATTATTACAGTTATGACATCACTAGGCAAGAGGAATTTTATAGCTTCGTTATAATCTTAAGGACTGTCATTGGTGTTGTCTGTGGCGAAATGTCTTTATCCAGTACATGACTTAATTTTTTCCACAGCCCTTCACCACTTGCTAGTTATCCAATAGCCTAATCGTTTTGTTTTTACTATTCATCAAATCTATAGCTCTCCCAAGTTATGTTTGAAACTCTTATTTCATATTAGATATCAAACTAAGCATCTGATGAAGCAGTTTGGGAAATTTCATATTCATAAACATTATGTCACCTTTATGTAAGCTTCTAAATCCCCCTGTCCAGAGTTCACCCATTTTTGTCTTCTAGAATAGATGTGAATAACAGTCTAGTTCGTTTCTAAGAAAATACATGATGGTAATTTTGTTCCAGTAAGTTCAGTCTCTTAGTAAATCTGAGTGTCTTTTTTCCCCCTCCCCCAGGTATGGAGCAGTTTCAGCAGGAATGTTATGTGCCCTTACTACCCTGTCCCAGCAACTGGAGAACGAAAATGCCGTGGATGTGTTTCAGGTTGCAAAAATGATCAATCTTATGAGACCTGGAGTATTCACAGACATTGTAAGTAGTTTGCATATATGTAAAACATTTACATCATCAATTGAAACTCCAACTTATGCCTGTAGAGCAGGGGTTGTCAACTAGGGGTGATTCAGCTCCCAAGGAACATCTGGCACTATCAGGAGACTGTTTTTGGCTGTTGCAACTGTGGACAGAGAGGTGCTCTGGCATTGAGTGGGTAGAGGCCAGGGATGCTGCTAAATCTACCCATGTGCCCAAGACAATAAAGGAAGAATTATCTAGCCCAAAATGTCAGTAATGCTGCCATTGAGACCCTGCTTTAGAGTACAGAACGCTTTGTTATAAGATGTAGATATTCCACTGTCTTTGTGAACTACCAGACTTATAAGATCTATATCATCTCCTCTTGATCTCTATAAGACTCAAGTGTTCTTTAGGTTTTGGGGGTAGTACTAAAGTTTAAATCTAGGGACATTCTACCATGGAGCTATATCCCAGCCTTTCTGTTTTTTTTGTTTATGAAAGAGGGTCTTTTTAACAAGGCTCATGCTGGCCTTGAACTTGAGATCCTCCTGCCTCAGCCTCTCAAGTAGCTGGGATTACAGGCAGGTGCCACCATGCCCAGCGTCAAGTCAGTTTCTTTTTCTTAGATAGCATTTTGCTATTCCCATGCCTTTACCAGTGAAAAATATACTAAATTTTCATCTTAGGTGAAATGACTAAGCTCTTTTGGCTCACAATGTCTTCCTCTTACTTTTCAGGAACAATACCAGTTTGTCTATAAGGCAATGCTCAGCTTGGTCAGCACTAAAGAAAATGGAAATGGTCCCATGACAGTGGACAAAAACGGTGCTGTTCTTATTGCAGATGAATCGGACCCTGCCGAGAGCATGGAGTCTCTGGTGTGACTGGAATCCTGAAAGGGCACTTAATTTGTAAACTTCTGAAGACAGAGAACTTTTTTGAGGCCTTTTTTGCCAGACTCTAGGTTATACAATAACCCAGTTACTTTTTTACACTGATAAAAGTTTTGATATTTATTTTTTGCCATTTTATGTCTTAATGGTATCCTACTGAGCATTTGCACCTCTGTTCATTTCACACAGTGAAACGCAATTTTACCTAGTTTGCACTATATGATCAGTGTTACTGCCTATAATCTAATATTAAAGCAAACCCTAATGTGACATTCCATGACAACATGCAACTTTTTAGTTCAGTACAATGAAGATCTTTGTTGTGACAGTGAATCTTGATTTTGTCATTGTTGCTAACGCAGTCATTCTACTAGCAGGCAATGCTGTACTTCTCCCGGTCCTCCCCTCCTGTTCTTCAGGCACTGTTCAATGCTGAATGCCTTCTGTATTTTAGTGGAGTGGATGAACATTGTTTTCTTTTCTAGAACTGCAGGCTATTGGGAGCTACTAAGAAGGTCTGTCAACATTATGGCCTTGAAATTGTTCCATTTTTAATGGTTAAGAGAGCCATTAAGAAATGAGAAGGCTTAAGAGTTGCCTCTTGTGAACATCTCTTATTAGTTTTAAAGTTATATTCATAGCTTACAAAAATGTGTCAAAATAAAGGATAACTCTGTATTACAGCTTTCCTAGTAGCTATGTGGACAGTGTGTGTTCTTTCCTTTTTGACTCTTGGAAATAGCTACACCCTAAAATCTGGGCTCCTCTTTTACTGTAGCGAGATGGCAATGTTCTCCACAACTCAGTTATGAGAACTTTAAGTTAATCCCTACTAATGTAATGCTTCTTGGTTTATAATACCATACCTCACAGTAGGTAGGAGAATTAGTGCAAGTATCTGATTTTTGAAACTAGTTTTCTAAAAATCCCCCCTACTCATATAGCAATGTAATAAGAACTACCTATACAGTTAACATTCTTTCCTTTTTTTGCCAAATATTTCATAATAAATCCCTTAAGTACATACATTCTTCTATGGAAGGTTAAGTTGAAAATACCGTATTAGCCAGTGTCTTGGACTATTTAAATCTCCACACCTAGATAAATCTTATTGGGAACAAGACAATTAGAATCTTGAACAAAAGGTGATGGCTACATTTTCAAGTCATTTTAAAAAGGAGACTGCTTTGAATGCTTTTGTGTGGTTTAGTCTCAAGAACACACACACTTCAGTAAAAGATGCTGATAAACCATTAGAGAGCCCAAGGAAGTTATTTGTCCACACTACATAACAGGAAAATTAGGAATGTTATTAAGAAATTTAGTCAGAAAAATAAGCTACTTGTTGAAATCTTTTCTTCTATTGCATGTTTGCTTTTGAGCATCAGCTTCTATCAAACTTGAAATCATCAGAACCGGGCCTATTAAAAACAGCTTGGCTTATTTTTAGTGCCAATAAACTTGGACAGAAAGACCACAATGACTGCTATCATATTTTTCAGGGTGGGCATTAAAACATAAATGATGTTTAGCACTGAGGTTCTACTCACCTTGAGTTGGCCTACATGGAGTTTGTCATAGTTGCTAAGAAGACAGGGTCTCGGAGCCAAGTCCAAGGGTTTCAATGCATAGGGCAGGACAACAGAGTTTTCATGAACTACCTAATTATCAGGGTTAATCTTATCTTCTCATCACACAGATTCAACCACAAAGAGTAGTCTACTTTCGAAGAACTGTATAGGCTATCTTGAGTAAAAGTGTTCCAGTGAACAAAGTTTGCTAAATCGTGTGTACTAGAAGACATAGGCACTTTCACAGCCCTCTGCTCCCACCAGAGGTGACTCTACCTGACACAAGGAACACTTGAACATAGGAACCCTACAACTCCCTGGAGGCTGAAGGGACTTAGGAGAGGAAAAGTTTCAGATCATGGCAAGAACTAGAGATTTTTAGTGGGGTATTTTTGTTGTGCAGGGCATTGATATGAGCTAATGTTTTTCAGTAGATAGTGCAGTGGCTTTGACATTCAGAAATAACATTTGAATTGGAATTCATGGTCTCAGTAATTTTTCTTAATAAACACTGGTTAGGAGGCAAATAGCAAGTATTCCCTTCTGTTCTACTTATAGAGAGCTCAGTGCATTGAAATGCATACCCCCCAACATAGTTCTGTGACTCATCAGATTAATGATAAAACAGCTAGTGAACAGGACAGAAATATGATAAAAATGGTTTAGAAGTTCTCTGTGGGGAACCTGTGTCTCTACAGCAGACATGAACCAAAGTCTGTAGACCTGAACTCACTGAACTGTGAGCAATACCTATTTGCCCATCTTGCCAAAGTGGTCCAGACCCACTACACGGAGTCCAGTTATCTTTAGTCCCTCACCCTTCACCAGAGTGTATCCTCAACTGTTAGTCATTCCTCACTGGCAAAAAAATAAACTTAGATCTTTTCTGGAGGCACAGAGTTCCAAAGACGGTGTCTGAACACATTGCTTAAGGACATAACAAAGTTTTTACCACTTGTCTCAAGGGGAAAGGAAATAGTTCTTGGAAGTCAGTGTGTGCTATTTTAAGAAAGTAAACTGTGTATTTGATTTCAGCACCAGGTAAACAGAATGCACACATCGTACAAAACTGAATGACTATAATCAGACCAGGTAGCTGTTCTGGACACCAAGACATCTCATTGCCACCAGGAGACCATTCTTGTACCTGATAGCCACAATACCAATCTTTTACACTTAAAAAAAAAAAAAAAAAGTTAATGTCTGAATTTCAAAACAATTTAAGAGTAGCTCACTGGTTTTCCTAATTTTTTATGGCTTGGAGTCCATTTCAAATAAGAGTCCAGCAAGGGCAGAGAAGAGTTATGATGTTCAAGGTCTGGCTGCTTGAGTGTTTAGCCCAGAGTGACACTGAAATCCATAAATAACTTTAATTATTATTTTTTAATGACAGCACAACTGCCTTGTTACCACTTTTTCCTTAAATGCATATATACTATATTTAAAATTAAAATAGATACCAATTTACCAAAGATACATATTACTAATTCTAAGCAAAAAAAAGGGGGGGGACCCAATCTCATCCTAATTTAAGAGAAAATAATCAAAATGTAGTTTTCTTAAGGATTTAGCAGTTATACTGGAAAATGCATTTTCAACTCCTATGTTCCAAAATTTCTGTTCATGTGGTGCCAGTGAATTTTTATATGAAGGGGAAAAAAATGCCTGCTTTTTTTTTCCCCCAGCAGCTGTAATTTCACTTTACCCTTTGCACTTTCTCCCTTAGTTGCCATTTAACATACAATATTGGCTTTCCTTATCTCTAGAAAGAAGGCATGCTAAAAATAGGAAGGAATTGTAATAATGGTATTTGGCCTCTACTTTTTGTCTTAGCTGTTAAACTGTTTTTAGTATTTTTGTTAAAAATTTGCAAAGGGAAGCATTTTCTACAGAGGATAATTAATTTCAAGAAAAATATCTTGAGTTTTAAGAAATAAACATCTCCAAAAAAGGAGACAGTCAATTTTATAAAATGTCGCAACTCTCCAACATTTGGGGTAGTGACTCCTTTTTTTGTTAGCACATTTGAAACTAGCAAGCAGCCATTGTTTCTAAAGAATCCACCCTTCACGTCAAATCGTGTTTCTTTCACTTCATTTTGAAATAGCTAAAACCATTAAAACTGTAAATATTTTGTTGCTTGGATAAGCATCTTCTGGAAACTTTGTATCTATGGTATATAATCATAGAATTTTATATTTTCATATAAAGCTAATTTTTTTCTAGTTTCAACTCCGTTGTTGTTTTTCTTTCTTTTTCTTTCTGTGGTGGATATGTGAATTCAACTTTCTGTGTATTGAAGTAGCAAGAACCATCTCTGCATTCCAAAAGAATCCAACGTGTTATTTCTTTGAGGCAGTGATTGTGAAAGTTGGGCTTTCTTTTTAATTCCATTGAACATTTGTGCAATAGGAATTAGACATAATTAGTCACTGAATACATTCGTTGCATTGACCCATTTGGAAAAGTGATTTTTTTTTTTAATTTGTTCTGGGGGGAGGGGTTTTGTAACCTGAAATTTTTCCCTTTTTTCTTCTGTTTAAAACTATATCAAATCATTCTATTATAGTGTTATTTAATATGTAAATTGTATTGCTATACATAAAATAAAGTATGGTTTTTGATGTATTCATTAGTGCTGAGCATTTCTGTGAAAATGTCTACACTCAATAAAATCAGCTTTCTAGATTTCCTTAACAGCACATTAATACCCAGTAACCCTCTGTCTTATTTTTCATGGCAATGAAGTGAACATTAGTAGTCATTGTTACACAGGCAGCAAACCAAAAGGAAGTGGCTTTGCCGAGTTGATTTATCCATTTTCTTCCTCCTTTAAAAAGTAAATAAATGTGCTGGACATGGTAGTGCATGCCTGTAATTCAGTGACCTGGGAGGCTGGGATGGCAGGATCACAAATTCAAGCCCAGCCTGGGCAACTTAGCAAGACCCTGTCTCAAAATAAAAAGGGCTGGGGATGTGGCTCAGTGGTAGAATACCCCTGGGATCAATCCAAGGAAGTAAGGAGGAAAGGAGGGAGGGAAGAAGGGAACTGACAAAGATTTACCTGCATATTAATCAAACTTCATCTGTTTCATGGATCTCCTACTGAGAGCAGAATTACTACTCTCTCCAGCGTATCAACTACATCTGCCACAATTTCTCCCTCTGAACACTTACTATCTAGGATAAGGGATATGTCCTGGCAAGACTTTTGGAGGATCTATGAAATATATGTAGGATAAATATAATTGCTTCTACTTCTAGGGAATTCTGACATTTCCAAACAGGGATACACAAGTCCTATGGGCTACCATTCTGTCTTCTAGTGATTCCACATCCAGTGCTCAACTCTTTCTAATAAGGACCTACTTTTTCTTTCCATATAAGAGCTGGTATTTAATTCTCCCCAAGTTACTGAGAATTTAAAAAACAGTATATTAATCCCATCCAGGAATATATGGAAGAACAATTCCCCAAAACAGAAAGCATCTCTCAGGTGACACGACCCTAGTCTCCCTCACACTATACCCATAGGGACTCTCAGAGCATGTGTATACCAACGGTCACAAATTAGTCTGTAGATCCTGGTTGTTCTATGAATCACACTTGATTTTGCCTTGTGGTTTTCTTTTAAATTCATATTAGTTGCTAACATTTTAAAAATGAAAATCTTTACATTCAAATTCCAAGCTCCTTTCAAACAGTTCTCCCTTTGTGGTTGGGTAGGGACTCTCCAGATCACATCTCTCCCTGTCACCTTATGTCTGGCCATCATCCATCACAAAATCTGATTGTAATTTGCCAATAGCCAACTCGTGGTTCCCATCATCTAAGTTCTTTTATTTGATATTCCCAACATAGGTAGGTGAAAATATGAAAAAAGAAGTACATCACACTTTGTACCAGCATGAGCAAACAACTAAAACTAATAACTATAGACACTCCTATTATTCACGGTGATCACCAGTGACTGCTCATAGGATCCAGGGAAAATAAAGGGATCATCTTCCATCTCTGGCCAGTAAACTGACCACCAAGGGCAGCAGAAGTGTTTATATTGGTTTTGCATCGTTAAAGTCCCAATAGTCAGAACAAAGCAAAGGGTTTCCTACGTTCCTAACTCACTGAGTCCACTCAAAATGATGTCATTTAACAGCAGTTACAACTGTTCAAAATTAAATCCCTTTTCTAATTACATTGTTTTTACTATACTGCATATAACCCTAGATGAGGAAGTTCCACTTCCACTACTAAGAACAGGCAAAGAAATAAGAGTGCAAAAGCACTGCCCCAAAACTCCAGTTTTTAAACAGCTAGTTGTGGAACTTAGGAAACGTCCTAGGATTTAGGAATAAGTCAGTAATAATCATGCCTGGATTCAGAGACTGGCTTCATATTTTCACCTACCTATGTTGGGAATATCAAATAAAAGAACTTAGAAGATGGGAACCACTAGTTGGCTATTGGCAAATTAAAATCAGATTTTGTGATTATGAAGTGAAATTTGGCAAGGAAGATCACAAGAGCTGCAGTTCATCTGACTCTAACAATTATCTTGCTCAAAAATTGTAAAAGAAGAAATTAACATAACTTATGCGTTGTAATTTGAAATCATTTGACTTGTTGCTGCTACAGGCCTGTACACTAACTATTTTCCCTTCCCCACATCCTACATCATCTGCAAGGTGTAAAGCCAGGTTCTGTGGTAATATCCAATAGACCTTGCAAAGCTTTATAACATTCTAAAACAGACATCTTTAACATTATGTTAGAATCCATTCCACGAACATCCCATAAGTCATTCCATAACTATACTACTCAATTTACATTCTTGTTTGCGGATATCTTTCAAGTCAGACAAGGCAAAAATAATTTAGTCTAAAAATGAATTTTCAATTTATTCAGAAATATTAATTTGGCTCTAGGTTTTTAGAGTAAAAAAAAAAAAAAGAAGTACATCACACTTTGTACCAGCATGAGCAAACGAGTAAAACTAGTAACTACAGACATTCCTATTATACACTGCGATCACAAAATTCTATTCATTCTATATTAAACTAGGTATTTGAACTTAGAAAGCACCTGTCCATAGGGGGAAATGGCTCAAGAGTAAGGACCATGGGATCAAAACAGCCAAGGTTCCAGTTAATTCTGCCACTTACTGACTGACAGTAACTTGGTCATGTTACTTCACCTACATGCCATTTTCCTCTTCTGTGAAATATAGAAACTCAAACTGTTAAGTAAAGGATACATGCAAAGACCCTGAGACAGCAAGTATTCAATATTAGTCATTAGTATCTTATAATCCTGTTTTATTTAATTGCTTAGCAGACCCATCGTCAATCATGAAACAAAAAGTCAACTAGTGGCTTACCCATTTAAATAGTAATATTGTCCTTGGCACACACCTGTAATCCAGAACTCAGAAGCCTGAGGCAAGAGGATTGCAAGTTCAAGATCAGCCTCAGCAACTTAGCAAGACCCTGTCTAAAAGTGAAAAATTAAAAAGAACTGGTTCTTTATTATTATTTATAGTTTACTGGAAAGCACCCCTGGGTTTAATCCTCAGTACCATAAGTAAATAAGAAATAAGTCTAACACTAAGAAATTTCCACAGTGAGGAGGCTCACCAAATGACATCATATCCAAGGGAGGTAGATGGAGATAAATGTGGACAGTGGAAATAACTCCTATATCCTATTATTCAGAAACAAAAGTGAGGGCAGAAACAGGAAATGGACAAAAATGCATGATACTTTAAAGCCCATTTCTCTTATTAAAGTTTCGATTTTGGTACATTCCAAGGTTTATTGTCGTCGTTTTTTGTTTTTGTCTGTCTATAGTACTGCGGATTGAACCCAGGGAGTGCTCTACCACTGTGCTACATCCCCAGCCCTCTTCTTTTTTGAGACAGGATCTCACTAAGTTGCCTAGGCTGACTTCAAACTTGGAATCTTTCTGACTCACCCTCCAGAGCAGCTGAGATTATAGGTTCGCCACTGTGCCTGGCTCCAAGAAGGAAAAGCTCCCTAATTTCAGAAAAGAGAAATAGGAGGCTACGTGATTCTTGCGAATGTTAAGCCCCAACTGCAGAATGTTGCACAGTAATATGAAAAAGGTGTATGCTGTTTCTATCACTAGCAGCAGAGCTCTTTCTGTACCCCCAGGATCCTATAAACCAATATAAACAGTGAGATTGTCTATATGCTCAGTTGATTTGTTTTAATCTTCCACATCTCTCAGTACTTTCTACAGATCACTCTCATTATCATAACCTTCATCATCCCTCATCCTGGACGCATGGCCTGGTAAGCCACTCACTATTATATTATGATGAACTAGCTGTAAATGAGGGCCAACTCCTGTTTTAGGAACATTTTTTTTTTAATTTTTTATTGTTGGTTGTTCAAAACATTACAAATTTCTTGACATATCATATTCCACACTTTGATTCAAGTGGGTTATGAACTCCCACCTTCACCCCATACACAGATTGCAGAATCACATCAGTTACACATCCATTGATTTACATATTGCCATACTAGTGTCTGTTGTGCTCCGCTGCCTTTCCCATCCTCCACCATCCCCCCTCCCCACCTCTCCCCTCCCCTCCTCTCTACCCCCTCCACTGTATAACCCTGAGGGTCTCCTTCCATTTCCATGCAATTTCCCTTCTCTCTCCCTTTCCCTCCCACCTCTCATCCCTGTTAAATGTTAATCTTCTTCTCCTGCTCTTCGTCCCTACTCTGTTCTTAGTTACTCTCCTTATATCAAAGAAGACATTTGGCATTTGTTTTTTAGGGACTGGCTAGCTTCACTTAGCATAATCTGCTCTAATGCCATCCATTTCCCTGCAAATTCTATGATTTTGTCATTTTTTAATGCAGAGTAATACTCCATTGTGTATAAATGCCACATTTTTTTTATCCATTCGTCTATTGAAGGGCATCTAGGTTGGTTCCACAGTCTTGCTATTGTGAATTGTGCTGCTATGAACATCGATGTAGCAGTGTCCCTGTAGCATGCTCTTTTTAGGTCTTTAGGGAATAGACCGAGAAGGGGAATAGCTGGGTCAAATGGTGGCTCCATTCCCAGCTTTCCAAGAAATCTCCATACTGCTTTCCAAATTGGCTGCACCAATTTGCAGTCCCACCAGCAATGTACAAGTGTACCCTTTTCCCCACATCCTCGCCAGCACTTGTTGTTGTTTGACTTCCTAATGGCTGCCAATCTTACTGGAGTGAGATGGTATCTTAGGGTGGTTTTGATTTGCATTTCTCTGACAGCTAGAGATGGTGAGCATTTTTTCATGTACTTGTTGATTGTATGTCCTCCTCTGAGAAGTGTCTGTTCAGGTCCTTGGCCCATTTGTTGATTGGGTTGTTTGTTCTCTTATTGTCTAATTTTTTGAGTTCTTTGTATACTCTGGATATTAGGGCTCTATCTGAAGTGTGAGGAGTAAAGATTTGTTCCCAGGGTGTAGGGTCCCTATTTACCTCTCTTATTGTTTCTTTTGATGAGAAAAAACTTTTTAGTTTGAGTAAGTCCCATTTGTTGATTCTAGTTATTAACTTTTGTGCTATGGGTGTCCTATTGAGGAATTTGGAGCCCGACCCCACCAAATG